ATTTATTTAACAAATGTTATTGTTATTTGTTATGTTAACAAATGTTTGAATCGCGTGACGTTAAATAACAATAACAAATATTATTATTATTTAACATCACGCGATTCAAAAGGCATTGAGAATGTTTCGTTACAACTTAAAGCGAACTTTCGGTGTTCTCTTTTCTAATTTTATTTTTTTCGTCATTTTTTCCCTACGAAATCGTTCTACGAATAACTCTATACTAGCTTTTCTCCCTTTGTGGCTGTTAAAACAACTTATCGCGGCCAAAATAAATATTATAAAAGGTAAAGGTGTAAGATAATTCCATATAGTATATATCTTCCATAGACTTTTTCTTACGCACGATCCATTTCTGCAAAAAAATAAAGAAAAATAAAATAAAAATTTTGAATTTTGCCAATATCTTATAGCTACAGTCTTACTTGGTGCATATTCCGTAATCGTTATCGCAGAAAGTTCCAGGCAGGTGCACGTAAAATTCGTTTTTGAATGGAAAAAAATTGCAAATCTTTAGCGGTTTGGCAAGTATTCGCTTTATTTTTACAGCATATGTGATGAAAGCGAAAACGTATTAAATATATCGCATATGGACACTACTGGCTAGTCTACCTCGTAGCTCCCTACAAGTTTGACTGCCATATTGAACCTTGAAAATAATTTATTTTTAAATATAAAGTTTTGGTTTCGACCTTTTAAGTCTATTGCCTTTATATCGATTCTAATTGTAAGCGTATATTGTTAATTACTTCAAGTACAGCACTTGTATTTAAAAAAAGCCATTTAAACAAATAACGAGTGTCCTTCAGCTATTGCTTCTAGCAAACTTGTACAAATGTCATATAAACATTATAAAATTAAAAATTAAAAATTTCTTCTCAGTAAAAAGAATACTCGTTAAATAAGATGTCAATGTTTAATTAATTCATTCATTTGATTTAAAAACAAGTAAAATTGGCAGCATTTCAATGTGAAAGCTCTTAAAATTTGCGTAACTCGCAGTTAATTAGAATTAAAACAAAAATAATAATGATAATAAAATATTGTCATAAAAGGACTTCTATGAAATGCCGTAAATATCGTTGAATTAAATTTGCTTGTCCGAGTTGTTTGAAGTGATCTATTCATTAATTATTTTTATTTTATATTTTTCGTATACGTATAACTTATTAAGAAATTAAAAATACAGATGCAATTAATAAAAATTTTATAGAAAATTTTAATTAGTGTTTCCCAACTAGAACGGTGTTTATTGCTATAAACACAGATAATTTTATGTAAGTAAATTCAAGTTGTTTGACTTACACGGCATAACCTGTTTTTCTATAATAAAACTAAAAGTTAGTATTTAAAGTTTTATAATATTAATGAGTCTTTTTATAATTAAATCTACTGTAATTTAAAATATATATACGGTATATATAGATACGGGCATCCACAAAAAATTTTCCAGCGGAGAGGCATTGCTTGGAGACAAATAATTACCTCGATAAAGTTTACTCGATCCCAGGGAGGAGCAAGTTCTCCGTCTTCCTTCTCTGCGGAAACCCGTATATACGTATATATTTTAAAATATAACTAAATATTAACACTGATATCAATTACAACTTCTAAACAAAAAATTAGAATATTTACCTGACTGAAAGTTTAGTGTACATTTTCTCACGATCAACATAGAGTACAAAGCTTTTTTTTACCCTACATAAACAATGTCTATGTATATTTATTATACCTATTAATCAGACAAATTAACTCAAACGTTTTTTTTTTTTTTGTTACAAATGGAAATGAAATGACAAAAAATAGAATAACAGTTTGACCATGACAAAAAATTAGAATATTAACAAAAACAGCCGAACAAACAGCCATAAAAAAGTAGATTGTAATGCAAATTTCCATATTGTTGGGCAGAGCAGTGTAACAGTACAACATGGGGCGTAAGCGCGACATCAGTATCAGAACTAAAGATATTATCATAGCCTTGTACAAAGTAGGAAGAACAAATAAAGAAATTGCGAATTATGTAAAATACTCGCAGCCAATAGTCTCTAGAATACTGAAACAAAAAACCGTGTTCAAGTTTTAACTAATAAACGCCAGAAATGTGGCAACTGGAGCGGACGTTAGTAGCCGAACCACATGCCTATGGTTCCACGACTTACACTTCCACTTCCGTGTTCCCGAAACGAAGCCACCTCTAACGAAAAAGTAACGACGAGCGAGCGTCAGATAGCGCAGAGAAAGGCTCGTGTGGAACAAGACGACTGGAATAATGTTCTCTTCGGTAACAAATCCCCGTTTTGTCTCTCCTGTGGTGACCAAGGCCCACGTGTACGGAGAATAACCAAAGAGGCCTTCGATAAGGACTGTACGAAGAGATCCGTGACGTTTGCATCATCTATCACGATCTGGGGATGCACGAGTGCTTACGGCGTAGGACAACTGTACATTCTTCGGAAACGTATGACACATCAAGACATCTTAGTGACATTTATGATACCATCGGCAGAAGATATAATTGAGAAAACATTTCTATTTCAACAAGACGGAGCATCCTCTCATACTGCGAAGTCAACGATACGTTGGTTACAAGAACGACACATCGCAATCCTGCCTTGGCCGAGCAATTTCCCCAGACTTAAACCCATCGAAATTTTGTGGAGAGTTTGAAAAGACGACTTAATGAGCGGTGATCAAAATCTAAATAGGAACTAATGACGTCTTTGAATTGCATCACTAGAAATGAATGCTAAGCTTTAATCCGCGCAGATTGCGAGAACTGATTATGGCAAAAGGCGACGAAAAATAAATATTAAGTTTATTTTGTTGTATTTCCTATACTTAACCCACATTTAGCTAATAATCTAATTTTTTGTCTAGGAGTTATACTTAATATTGGCTCTTATGTTAATTTGAAGTAAATTTGCAATTAAGTGTAACTTATATATATGTATATGTATATATATTTACATATATCCGAATTATATTCTCTATTAAATTAACAGACTTTAACTACAAATGATGTCATTTTATGTAAGGATTTATTACTTAACAAAGTGTTGAAGAATATGTTTTTATTTTACAAATGTTTATCAGATATAATACATGTACATTATTTTTGAAATCCAGAAGGTTGGTTTCGTGGAATACGACAACGAAACACATCAGAGATCTGCCAACGGGTGCATGCCTCTCGGGTGGATTTTTTAAGGGAAAAAGGTCTCTGTTTAGGCGTTAGAAACGCGAATACAACACGGTAAACTGCGCGGTTAATCAAGCGCCAACCCACGACCAATTACCAATAATCAGTGGTTTTATCGGCCACCAGTGGTTCAAACCCAGAAGGATTATGATCCATTTTCTCTTAAATCCGGAGAGGCGAATCGTGATTGTTTAGGACCGAAGAGAATCGCGAGTCGTTGATTGAAAAATAATGTTTTAATTCGTAAATGATATTATTTATTTACTTATTTTTTTTAAAATTTTGATATTAGACTACTTTTACATATTAATATAAATGTAATGTTAAAAGAAACGTTTGTGAAAACTTGTATAAAAAATGTTTTTATTTTATGAAATATCTCTGGGTATTTGTGCGTGTGTGTAATTTTTATCTCTAAGCGTATTTACTTATTATTTAACGTCGAATTTTGTAAAAACTTTTCCTCCATGACGAAACGAAAATGATTTGTGCAGTGGCGTGGCTACTGGATTAAGCGCCTGGAGCGAGTCGAATCGGTGCGCCTCCTTCTTCCTCGGAAGAGGTCTCGCGAAATTTATTTTGAACATTTAATTTAAAAACATATAAGCGCAGAGCCAAACGGTTAGGAGTCGAAAGTTGAAATTTGGTACACACAGTACTGTACACTAAGAAGGGATTTTTCGAAATCCCCCCGCGGGGGAGAGGGAAAGGAAGCTTATCCCGAAGAACTCCGCTTCTATTGTACTATTTTAGACGCAGTATTTTGCGTTTTTTGCGAGAAATCGAGCATATTTTTAGACCCATCTAAAAATTCTGTAATTAGTCTCGGAAGAGTGGGACCTAATTCTCGTACCCAGTGAAAACGAGTAAGATCGTTTATAATCTTTGCTATCGTTACTTTTTCCCCGAGCAACGCCGGGCTCATCACTTTCTTCGGATCGAGTTGACAAGCTATTGTTTTTTCAATTGATATAGTCGGGCGGATCTAGGTTTTTCGGGGCCTAGGGCTTATTGAAGTCCAATGGGAACTCATTTTTTGTTAATACAAAAAATACCATAAATTATCTTTATTATATTATTATTAATATTAACTATTTTTACTGTACGATAAATGCTCATTGTTAATAAAAAAAGTATTAAAAATTGATGATAATAATTCAATTTTTGCGGGCCCTTGACACTCGGAGGCCCTATTAGTTCCTATGTAGATCCATCCCGGGATATAGTAGCCAGAGTTAAGACGGTGTTGTGACACGCTGCTTCTTAAATAAGTTTTGATTAATTTTAGTTTTGAAAAACTTGGTTCCGCTGTCGTTGTCGTCGCCCGTAAAGTTAAAAAAAATTGAGGCACGCTGCAATAATGTGGGAGAACCTATTTGAGGCTACGGTGTGAAATAAAAGTAGTTCGGCAACTTGACTTACAGAAGTACAGTAATTACTTTTACCCGACTATAAAAACACGTTTTAAATCGAAGCAGTCGAGGTCCAAAACTAGACGAATGTCGAAGAGATACGCCGATTGTAGGAATTGTGATTGTTCCACAATACTTTTATCAAATGACGTGACAAGCGATAAGCACTCGAAAGGTTACATAATTGTCCAACGGATTCAAATCTAATAGTTAATTGATTGATTATTAAATCCAAAAATTTTTTACAAATGCTCTTACAAGTTCTTATTACGCCTTTTCTAACTTGGCACCGTCGTGATTCTAGCCTGGAGCAGTTTGTTCCAACTGTTCCACGCTAGCTACGCCTCCGGATTCATGTAAATCTTTCAAGGTGAAAACACTCTTGTCGTCGTGCCAATTATTTTTTCATGTAGAAGTATAAAATTATAGATATTTTTGATCGCCTTCAATTTAATTTGTTTAAATCGAGTGAAAAGACAATCATGACTCGGGCCCTCGAGTTAATTCTTATTTGCCTGTTTTTATGTACTCAAACTTTCTCGATGTCGGAAGTTGCGTCGGAGGAAGTAATAGAAAATGACGAAGAAGTGAAAAAAATGTGGTTAGACACTTTAGAGAACGTCAGATATTTCACCAGATTCGTGGCAAAATTCTTAAAACCCAGACTAAAAAGATTAGAAAAAGAAGTAAATATTACGCAAGAATGTAAAGAATCTTTTAAACAGTTTCTGTACGATCTACAAAATAATAAAGTTTGGGCTTTTAAAAGTAAGTATAAAATTTATTTTAAATTATTCTTTTGTAAAGATTATATTCAAATATTTTGAACTGTTTTCGTTTGAACTTAATCTGATATAACATTTAATTCGCATCATAAGTTACGTGTTACGTGTTGTAATTAACTGCCTCAGTTTGTATAATGTAAATTTGATAGATAATTATGCTTATTCGCATACTTAATTTATTTGTATGCAGTAATCATATATTTTCGTATTATTTAATATAATAAACTATAATTGCTGATTGTTCGAATATAAAGCAACTTTCACAGGTGATCTTGATAAAGTGTTAATCTAAATCAGTGTTTTTCAACCTGTGAGTCGCGACCCCCAGGGTGGTCGCAAAGCCTTACACGGGGGTCGCGGGTAAAAGAAAAAGACAAGTGTTTGTAGGTCTTACACTACAATAAAAAAAAAAACTACAATTTCAGTGATAAGGCTTTGCCTGTTTATTTTACACTCTAAAATAAACCTGAAAAACCAATTGTACTGTAAAATTTACAGTACAATTGGTTTTTCGATCGATATTTAGGTCTCAACAGAAAGAAAATTAAATACTTAGTTTTTAAAATCACTGATATAGTTTTAATATGGCCCTGGGGGTCGCCAGAATTTTTTAACTTGTAAAGGGGTCGTGTATTCAAGAAGGTTGAAAAACACTGATCTAAATAATAAAAATTTACTTGTATAATTTCTTAAATTACACAAACAAATAAATTCGTTAGCCGTAAATACACCAAACAGCAAAAGAATAAAAAAAATACTTAGGCTGTGTCACGTAGGTCTATTGATTCGTGAATATGTAAAAGAAAGATATTTGGCAACTTTTTCGGCATTTTTTATTTTTTTTTAATACCTAATAATTGCTACTTTTTAACTACAGTCGACCCCCTATAACACTGTTGATTATTTCGTTTTATATGAATTCCATGTTGTACGAGTCACTTAGATTTTACAAATACGTGAGGCGTTCACAGCCCGGCACACGTATTTGTAAAATCTAAGTGACTCGTACAACATGGAATTCATATAATACGGAATAATCAACAGTGTTATAGAGGGGTCAACCGTATCTATACTTGTTAGACTTTAGATTTACATAAAATTAGTAAATTAGTAAAATTAGTAAATTAATAATTAGTAAATTAGTAAATTACTGATACAATTCGTATAATGAATGTCACTTAACTATTCTAAAAATAATAACCTCTTCAACATATATATAACTTCTTCAACTTACAAGACCTTTTGGTCTTCGTATGATGAAGAGGTTGGGAGGTTATTATTTTTTGGGTATGTTGAAGAGGTTATTATTCATAATTTCCAACGAAAATTTCGTTGAAAATTATGAATAATAACATAAAACATATATTTTTTCCCGGGCCTAGATTTGAGAACAATTTTTCAAAGCTATTTTATTAATATCTATGTATTAAACAAAGTTAGAACTCAATTAGTTTATTCTTTTAAAAGTTATTTTAAAAAACATCGAAAACCGTTATTATTGCAACGAGAGTGATTTTTGAAAAAAATTCGAGACAAATACATTTATTTATTATTGTTAACATAAAATTTATACCAGCTATAAAATTTTTTAATACGAACTTATGATTTATAACTGGAAATTTATTCAGACACGATCCTCACCTCTTTAATATCTCCCGAACCAATACTTCGATTTTCCTATAAATTTCTAGAAACATTTCATCCTAATGCACAAAGATCCCTAGAAAATTTCAGAAATATTTGACAAAACGCATAGCAGTTATTAAGCTTCAAAGTCGCTAAAAAAAATCATTTCCCCAATATACAAACACGCACAAACATCCAAACTCAGAAAAAACACGAACTGGTTTGAGTGTCTCGACGGTCCCCCAGACAAAAAATGAAAAACTCTTAATGGGTCATTTTTTCACTGTTAGCCGTACTTTCCCTCTGTATGTAACAGCTGGAAAAGTAACACATACACACTTATTAATATAATCACGTAACACTCATTTATATTCATTTCGTGATAATTAAATTAATAGCAGTTTAATTTCATTTTTTTAACTCACGCTGTTCGCTATATTTAATTAAAGGCGCTGACAGAGTTGGTGATAGATTCGCGCCCGATAAATGGGCTATATGCGTGAAATTTTCTGGGTTTTTTTTTCCACATATCTAACCTTTAAACGGGGGATCAGTTTTTCATCGAAGGTCCTCCAGGAAGGCACCCCTTGGAAGATCACCGCCTATCGAATTGCATTATTGCGTCCTCCATTCCTTCTACGTATTTAAAGTGACGCAATACATATTATTGCAAACACTAATCAAGAAAACTTTAAAGTAAATTTCTGCTTAACGTTGCAGAACAGAAATAGTAAACAATGCTGCAACGGACCGAAAATAGTTTCGAGATCGACTTGTTGGCCGTTCCTGCTGTAAGGAAAATACGCGTTTTTATTGTCTTTCTATGAAACTAATCCACAATGAATAAATTTTGTCTTGTTTTATTCAATTGTTTAAAATTCACTTATAAATAATGTATTTAATTCTTTTTTCTAACTTTCCTTGTTGATTAGATCTCGGCCGATCGAATACTGCTCGTAAGGAGTTCATAATTTACTTTACACACGCAAGATTACAAGGACAACAACGTGAATAAAAAATTTTCATTTGTATTATTATTCTATTAATTTTATCTACGCTCATCTTTTACCTATACGTGTTATACATGATTTGATAGTACAATAGTTTTATTTAATATTGTTGTGATGTAGCGATACTACTTGGGATGGTATTGCGTTAGGAATAAGAGCTGATGAGTAAGGTCATTATCCTTGCCCTTGAATCTTAGAGAAAAGTATCTTCTGGTACATACTATATAAGTATATAAAAAATATTTTAACGCTTTTGACAGTGCTGATTGTTGGCTTGTTTTTTTACGATTTACCGTTACGATCTACAATTCAACAGTTTGCCATTAATTGACTTTATTGAGGATGTCTTTTTCTAACGTAATACTTTCTTTTTTAATTTTGTTCTTTTTACTTATTATTGGAGCAGTTAAACTTAATACAGGTGTAATGTCTCGTGCACCACCTTCTTTTCCTGGCAATAATGCTTCGACTCCTGCTGGTAAACCTCGTCGACCTCCAAGCGAACCAACATTGAAATCATCTCGACTGGACGATTATTTTGCTTCTCAGGATATTTCTTTTTCAAGTACCTCAGAAAATTCTCTTTCCTTGAGGAACGTTTCGATATTTTTTAATCTAAACTGGAAGAATTGTCATCAAGATTTGACTTATTTTTAAAAATTTAAATAAAATTCAGGAGTTGTCGCCCTTCTCGCGCGTTAAAGTCTTTGATGATTTATCGTATAAATCAAGCCTCGAGGCTATTTCACACTGAACCGACTGGTCCGACTCCAAGTCGTGTTGCCGTAGCAACAGCAGTCGGTCATGGTATGAAATCGGTCTTAGGCGTAGAAAATTGTCCTTTTTTCATGGAAGTTAAATCTTTGAATAAACAAGCATTTCTGAAAGCCGATTGCTTGACGGTCGATGGTGACGAATTCACCATGTTTCAATTTAGAAACGGATGAACTACAGAAGATTAATACTTTTTTAGACAAATCCAGCCGAAAAGGTTAATTGAAACTGTAAGTTACCGACTTTGGGTGGCAGTAAGTTAATTGCGCGTCAGGAAAAGCCTAGGGACTGAACATATGCGGGTGGTGAAGTAGATGGCAAGGATGACACGTGTCCTCACAAAAACTGTTTATTTTTGACATAAAATTAACATACACTACGAACACAAACTTGAACTACAAACACAAAATGTTGAAGATCAGACGCTGGGAAGGATGATCGTTGATCTCGTAGGGTGTCGAAGACGGTGATGCAGCCCCCGGGCAGAGACGACGTAGGCGGAAGTATCTTCTTAGTTATTTCTTAGTTCTTAGTTAAGAAACCGAGAGGGGTCAGCTGAGATAGAACAGGTCGGGGTCAGAGAAGATGTGACGCTGGTCATCCACTGCCAGAATTGGAGGAGAACCGCTTCTTGTCCTTGAGATTCGGGGGTTTTATAGAATTTCTCTCGAATCTCACCCTTTTGATTGGTCCTGTTTTCCCTCTCCCTTATCCCGATTGGTCATTCCTTTGTCTCTAGGGGAAACCCGAGACCGATCCGGGTCGGGAAAGGTCCGAGAGGTGTTGAAGGAGCTTTTTACTCCGTTATGGCCCTTTTCTCTAACGTTTTGGACTCAAACGATTTAACAGATGTTCTTGTGGCCGTTCACCCCTTATCGGTTTCGGGCTCGGATGACACTTAACAAATGTCTTTTTGGTCATTAACATTTCTCTCGATTGTTTAAACCCGACACTTATTAGCGAGCACCTTGACAAAGCTCCCTCTCTCTCGATTGACATTCACCTCCGCCGTTTATCATCGCGTCGCGTTTGTTTTCAAGCACGTATGTTGCTTCCTTCCTGTCTGGTCTACATCACCAACACAAGCTCTTGTTCCGGTTTAACCTCCGAAATTTCTAGACTGGGTTTTAGGAGCCTCATAGAACAATTGCTAAAGAGAGAGATAAAACTTTAGTAATGAGGATATTGTCTTGGAATTGTCAAAGAACGTTGGACTTGACACTGAATGACCATGACATTATATATTTATTACAAAATTATGATTTAGGTGCTTTCACTGAGACTTGGTTAACTAACTCTTATAAACGGGTCCTTTTTTGTTGAACCAGCATTTATTTTTATATGAACAATTTGCAAATAAACCAACTGGCCCAGGTCGTCCGTATCACGGTATCATTGTTACAGTTTCCCCATAAATTAACTTCTTCAGAATTGTTGTTTAACTCGGACGATCTGGAAAATTCTGAAATTTGCAGTGAGGTTTGCTTATTAGGGGATTGATACTATTATGTTTTGCTCGAGGGATGGTGAGATAATGTAGATTGTATGTATCTCCAGTAAAGTCGGACGTAATAACGATTTCACTCGTTATTAGCATATATAACTTTTTATAAAACCCATCCCTATCCTGAAAATTAAGTTTTTTGCCATTTTATAATAATTAAAAATGTAGAAAGTTATTATAACAAAGTATCGTAATAGATGGCGTAACACACATTTTTATTTATTTATTGTGATTAATAATGTAAATGTTATTGGGCTGCAATTTGAAAAAAATTGTAAATTAATAAATTCCGAATGTCTTTTTTTAAACTCTGGAATGGCGTCAGATAAATGAAATTCAAGACTAGATAGCTTAGGGATAGGAGGCCCCGATTAACTATATACGAACCTCACGTTATTTCAATTCGAAAATGTTTAAAAAAAACAGCAATTGCTCGTTTTCAGCTGTGATTTTTTAACTCTGAAAATTCCCTCCCTCAGAGGATTATGAAAATGTATTTGTATTACAGGATCACGTACTAAAATCCTTGTATTTTAAGTATTTTAGGTACTTGTATTTTAAAACTTAAATAACTATAAATATATTGGGTATATATCCGAGGCTTTTCCACCGTGTTGAAGACGTTTCGAAATACTAACGTTAAATACAGTTACAGCATTTCAAAATAAAAAATCAAATTTTTTGAAATATAATCGAATTTATAAATAATCTAACTTTTAGTTAAAATGTATTTTATTTTATTGAGTATTTATAAACCTAATACAGTAAAATAGAAAAGATAAAGTGTATTTTTTATTAATACTTTTAACAAGATTACTTATTAAAATAACAATCAACAGATTATACAATGTAAGTAATGAAATAATCAAGTAAAACTTCTATTCCAGTGTTTGATTCGTGGGGTAAAATTACACCGGGAAGTATGATAGGAAGTTTAACGGATTATGGATCGTATTACGAATGTAAAAATGCTGTTCACGATACAAAGGAGGCTTTTAGCACAGACTGGAAGAACTTTTCTCCCCGTTATTGCATTCTCGATTATCGTTTACCTCCACCTTCAGTAGCAAAAGATATTTCACCTTTCCATACAGTTCCCGATTTTCTTAATCTTACCGACAAAGATTCCGTATGTGGCTACAAATTTTATAATATATACATATTTAGATCATATAATATTTTTCGTAAATTTATCTATAAACTTATTTTCTATTATAATAAATTTTAATATCGTTTAGGTACAGAGTTTTTTGGCCAATAAATCTCACCTTTTTACCGAACATACTTTTAGAAATGGAATATGTGTTCCCTCTTCTTGCAGTTCTGAAGATATTCAAATAGTGTTCAAAAAATGTAAGGTTTTATTAATTATTTTAATAAGTATAAAAATTTAATAAAATAAATATTAAATTTTCAAAAAATATCATGAAGTTTTGAATAAAATTGGAATTGAAGGAATCGTAAAAGTTAGCCATTGTGACAGCGATGCTTCAGTTGCTTTGAGTACAGAACAGAAAGTTGTAATGTAAAATACATGTTAAAATAAATAATCGTACTTTAATTAAACATTAATATTTTAAAAGTAATTCTAAAATATTTATATTCAGCATTTTCATCTCGAGTTTAATTTTGCTATCGATAATTGGCACAATTATGGATCTGTTACAAAGACGTGCAAGTAATTATGACGTTGAGAAACAGAATTCTAGTAAGTACAGTACATTTCTTTCCGTATTATATTCTGTTGCTTTGCTTTTTCAAATAATTTATAATAAAATTCATTCTTTTACGTAAGGTTTGACGAAAAAAATGTTTTTATCCTTCTCGTTGTATACCAATGCGCAGAAACTATTTTCTAGCAAGAAATCTTCTGATACGTTAACGATTCTCCATGGTTTAAGAGTCATTTCTATATCGTGGATTATTTATTCCCATTCTCATTTGTATGTAGACACGCAGTCTATAGGTAAGTTAATTTTTAAATAAATTTCCTTAATATGTAGTGTAGTTTATGCAATTTTTACATTTATATAAAACTATATGCAGGGTGGCCCAAAAGTCGGGTAACCGCGCTCTTTGAAAGCAATTTATGAAAGTATGACAAGCAATTGCGAATCAGTCATTTAGTGGGTTTTGAGACCTCCTTGTTGACTATCAAATTAATTTATAAGTTAATAAAATAAATCCAACAACGAGTTGCGTAATTTTCCTTGCAAAACAGTTAAAATTGTATGTAGTGTTATCTATTATGACGTTTTTGAAAATTTTTATATTATTAATTACTATAAAATGGGAAAAAGCTTCATTTAGATTTTTTACAAGATATAAACTGGTTTTATAAACGAGAAAGTTGTAAACGATACTAACGAGTATATTATTTATTAAATACGATTCCACTCGACCGATGACCCCTATTTATCTCTCCATGCCTTTGACCTTTAATCACCAAAATTTAATAGCATCAATTCTCCCGATACACAAACCTTCCTGCAAAATTTCAAGAATTTTTGACGAAAACACAGCAGTTATTAAGCGACAAATTTACTGAACAATATTGCGCCTTTTCATCAATCCCATATTTTCAACTGCCTCAATATGGATAGATGGAGTTCGAAATAATCGGAATTTTACCAGAATGTTTTGGAATTTATTCATTATATGGCGTAATAAATTCCATGTTTTTGTATACTGCAATTGCCGGAGATTGCCAGTTGTTCGACGTAGGGAGAAGTTAAATTACAGAAGAATTCGTGATTTCGAAATTTCCTGTAGCCTACTATTATTTCCAACTGTACAATGTATAATAGCGAAATGTATTTTATAAACAATACAATGTTTTTTGTCTTATATTGTGACTGATAATTTCCATAGTATTTGAAGCAAGAGGACATTGTAACGCGTGTGTGCACAAAACAAACATTTTAATTTGGATTTGCCATGAGTATAAAAATGCCAAATGTAAATAAATGGCGCTCATATATATTTTATTCTGTAATTTGGAAGTGGCTGTAGAATAAGATATGGAGATTCAATTACCGTATTAATCATAACAGTAGACTATAGCGATTGATCATAATGTTCCATCTTATGTACGATCTTATTTTATTATCATTGCTGCTATTTACATTACTCGAAAAATCCAGTCATTAAAATTAATACAAATTTTGATTATTAATTTTATATTTTTAATTTATAATTTTAATATCTGTAGAAAATATATTTTTCACGTTTCAATTTAATAATTTACCCGCTTTTAGCTGGTATACTCATTTATAAAGAATTCTTTAAAGAATATTTTTATCAATTTGTCGCCAATGGGACACTTTCGGTGGATACATTTTTCTTTATCAGGTAAAATTTATTATTTTATTTTATTTATTTTTTATTAACAATTAAAAGTATTTAATTTTTTTTAATTTAAATTTCAGTGGTTTATTAGTGTCTTATAACACAATAACTCTTGTTAAAAAACACAAAAAGAAGTTTAATATTCCTGTGTTCATCATCTATCGATTTTTCAGGTAAATCATTTATTAAAGTTCATAAAATAAATTGTTAATGATGTAGATTTAAATAGTTTATCGTTACAAATTATAAACTAATTAATTAATTAATAAACTACTCAAAATGAAGCACCTACTTACCTACATTTCGTATAATTAATACGTTACCAACCAAGCCATTCAAAGCTATGCACACTGGAAGAGTTTTGGAGTATAACCTCCTGTATTTGGAAAGAATTAAAAATTTAAAAAATACGAAAATATATCTTATATTTATTTCCTCCTTAATCTACTCTACCTATACCATAAAAATTAATAAAATACGTTATGAATAAATAATATTGTAAAACCCAACCCTTTTAAAACTCTCGTGTAGAACCCGAAGCCATTAGAAATGTCGTACATGTAGTAATTGTGATATTTTCTGCTTACAATAAAGTTATAATAAAAGCTTTATTTTGGTCTCATTCACTCACTGGTTTATAATGCTTGAGTAGAAATACACTTCTTACATTAGAAAGGGACAATACATTCTAAAATGAGAAGTCCAGAATGTTACTATCGATATTTTGTTATTTAGAATAACAAATTATATACAGAAGTTATTAATTTAATAACTTTTATACTGTATAATCGTTTAACAATATTTCAGATTGACACCGACGTACGCGGTGGTTATTGGAATTTTATTCGTTTTACCATTGTTGGGTGATGGACCTGTCTGGAACTTAACTCTTGATCCGGAAGTTGAAAAATGCCGTAAAGGATGGTGGAGAAATTTATTATTTATTAATAACTTTATCGAANCATGGTTTAAGAGTCATTTCTATATCGTGGATTATTTATTCCCATTCTCATTTGTATGTAGACACGCAGTCTATAGGTAAGTTAATTTTTAAATAAATTTCCTTAATATGTAGTGTAGTTTATGCAATTTTTACATTTATATAAAACTATATGCAGGGTGGCCCAAAAGTCGGGTAACCGCGCTCTTTGAAAGCAATTTATGAAAGTATGACAAGCAATTGCGAATCAGTCATTTAGTGGGTTTTGAGACCTCCTTGTTGACTATCAAATTAATTTATAAGTTAATAAAATAAATCCAACAACGAGTTGCGTAATTTTCCTTGCAAAACAGTTAAAATTGTATGTAGTGTTATCTATTATGACGTTTTTGAAAATTTTTATATTATTAATTACTATAAAATGGGAAAAAGCTTCATTTAGATTTTTTACAAGATATAAACTGGTTTTATAAACGAGAAAGTTGTAAACGATACTAACGAGTATATTATTTATTAAATACGATTCCACTCGACCGATGACCCCTATTTATCTCTCCATGCCTTTGACCTTTAATCACCAAAATTTAATAGCATCAATTCTCCCGATACACAAACCTTCCTGCAAAATTTCAAGAATTTTTGACGAAAACACAGCAGTTATTAAGCGACAAATTTACTGAACAATATTGCGCCTTTTCATCAATCCCATATTTTCAACTGCCTCAATATGGATAGATGGAGTTCGAAATAATCGGAATTTTACCAGAATGTTTTGGAATTTATTCATTATATGGCGTAATAAATTCCATGTTTTTGTATACTGCAATTGCCGGAGATTGCCAGTTGTTCGACGTAGGGAGAAGTTAAATTACAGAAGAATTCGTGATTTCGAAATTTCCTGTAGCCTACTATTATTTCCAACTGTACAATGTATAATAGCGAAATGTATTTTATAAACAATACAATGTTTTTTGTCTTATATTGTGACTGATAATTTCCATAGTATTTGAAGCAAGAGGACATTGTAACGCGTGTGTGCACAAAACAAACATTTTAATTTGGATTTGCCATGAGTATAAAAATGCCAAATGTAAATAAATGGCGCTCATATATATTTTATTCTGTAATTTGGAAGTGGCTGTAGAATAAGATATGGAGATTCAATTACCGTATTAATCATAACAGTAGACTATAGCGATTGATCATAATGTTCCATCTTATGTACGATCTTATTTTATTATCATTGCTGCTATTTACATTACTCGAAAAATCCAGTCATTAAAATTAATACAAATTTTGATTATTAATTTTATATTTTTAATTTATAATTTTAATATCTGTAGAAAATATATTTTTCACGTTTCAATTTAATAATTTACCCGCTTTTAGCTGGTATACTCATTTATAAAGAATTCTTTAAAGAATATTTTTATCAATTTGTCGCCAATGGGACACTTTCGGTGGATACATTTTTCTTTATCAGGTAAAATTTATTATTTTATTTTATTTATTTTTTATTAACAATTAAAAGTATTTAATTTTTTTTAATTTAAATTTCAGTGGTTTATTAGTGTCTTATAACACAATAACTCTTGTTAAAAAACACAAAAAGAAGTTTAATATTCCTGTGTTCATCATCTATCGATTTTTCAGGTAAATCATTTATTAAAGTTCATAAAATAAATTGTTAATGATGTAGATTTAAATAGTTTATCGTTACAAATTATAAACTAATTAATTAATTAATAAACTACTCAAAATGAAGCACCTACTTACCTACATTTCGTATAATTAATACGTTACCAACCAAGCCATTCAAAGCTATGCACACTGGAAGAGTTTTGGAGTATAACCTCCTGTATTTGGAAAGAATTAAAAATTTAAAAAATACGAAAATATATCTTATATTTATTTCCTCCTTAATCTACTCTACCTATACCATAAAAATTAATAAAATACGTTATGAATAAATAATATTGTAAAACCCAACCCTTTTAAAACTCTCGTGTAGAACCCGAAGCCATTAGAAATGTCGTACATGTAGTAATTGTGATATTTTCTGCTTACAATAAAGTTATAATAAAAGCTTTATTTTGGTCTCATTCACTCACTGGTTTATAATGCTTGAGTAGAAATACACTTCTTACATTAGAAAGGGACAATACATTCTAAAATGAGAAGTCCAGAATGTTACTATCGATATTTTGTTATTTAGAATAACAAATTATATACAGAAGTTATTAATTTAATAACTTTTATACTGTATAATCGTTTAACAATATTTCAGATTGACACCGACGTACGCGGTGGTTATTGGAATTTTATTCGTTTTACCATTGTTGGGTGATGGACCTGTCTGGAACTTAACTCTTGATCCGGAAGTTGAAAAATGCCGTAAAGGATGGTGGAGAAATTTATTATTTATTAATAACTTTATCGAAAGTCATAACGGGGTAAGGCGATTCAATTTAATACAGGAACTTGAACATATGAATCATAATTTTTTAAATTATATTAAATAATGAAGGTTTATATATTTTAATACAGAATGATCTTTTTTTGCGCCGATAGAAATTTTAAATTTAATGAATATACAACTTTTTAAAATAATTTTAATTGTTAATATTAAAATTAATTTTCTAATTTTCCTGATCGAAATACCATTTTTTGGTTTAAAAAATTTTACGTGTTTTATTCATAATATTTTCCAACTTACGCTGTAAAACATAAATATTGACTTACATTATCTAAAGCTTATTTGTCTTATCGGAATTATTTACACTTTTATGACAATACGGAGTAATTTTCACGTTATTTTTATTATAAAAAGCGAAGCCATATTAAAAATTATATATAAAATTATAGTGCACACCAATCTCATTATACCAATGCACTGAAGTACTATTAAACTTTCTTTACTTTAATAAAGGAAATAAACGTGTAAAACTGTCAGTTCTCTGCTTTATTTTAAGAAAGTTGCTCGAATTTATTTACCAATCAAATAATGAAAGCAGCAATCGTAATGCTTACTACATGTTTGTGTCGATTGATTTTCCTAACCGCCATACTATTGCAACATTTACCTAAATTGCAACAAAAAGGTGCATTAAAGTTAAAATTATTTTTAATCTGTATTCTTATATCCTTGATTACGTATCCAAATATATAATTGAATTCAGGATAAATTTTTCATTAATTTTAAACAATTATTTAACTTAGAATTCTTTTTATCTTATGTTAAAGAATTGCTGTCCGGGTTACAATTATTTTATAATTAGAACATTTTTAAAAGTGTATTATTAAATCAGCCTTCTTAGAACTTGAATTAAACTAATATAATTATTCAAATCGAAGTTTTAAAATTGAATCTTGAAATTTAGATAATTTAAACAAGGCCAAGTTATAAATATATATTTGTCGTAACGATATAACGCTACAATATTATTTATACTTATATATATTTTATATAGAAAGAGCGATATCTAAAAAAAGTTTATATGCCTTTAATTACAAAGGCTGGCTGTTTTAAAATATAAATAATAAACGTTTTCATTATTGATTTTTTTTAATGATATAATCTGCAGATTTGTTTAATCTAAGGATATAATTGAAGTTTTCCTCGAGCGTCATCCTCGAACACACAAAAAGTACTTAACAGGATCATTATCCTTGGCATAATTGGTAGACACGTTAAAAGTGAATTATAAAATAATACATAATTTATGAATTAATCTTTAGAAGAATGTATTTGCATTGTATTCCTTTAGTAAAATTGAGGACTTAGTGGAAAAACGACACGCTATTACCAAATTTGGTTTTACACATCGTTAATCCGTGTTCTTTCGTGGACATGCCTCACGCACGTTTCATTACAAACCCCTCAACATTCTCCACTACGTTTTATTAAAGTGAATTACACACTCACATTAATAAAGCGTATATTTAAAGTGCTGGTGATTTAAAAAACAAATTTCTCTTTTTCTCGAAAACTTCCTAACGCCGTTTTTTCCACCAATCCAAAGTAATGTTTAACTCGTTAGTAAATGAATTTTTCTAATTACATTATCTTATATTGTTATAAACAATCTTCATACAACTGTAATTTTTAATTAGTTTCTAAGGAAAAAAGTTGCAATTCGAATATTATAAATTTTCCTTCGTGATTGATCGCACATTTCACTTCGATAGGAATTGTCAAGAGTGCAAAATATTATACAGCAATGAGATTTTAAACTTCATACACTTCATTTTATTTATTAACACGCAGAAATAATCCTTTAATCCGTGTATTTTTTGCTTTGCGTAAATTAAATAATCTCCATTCTGCATTATTTTACTTCCCTTTATAATTAATTCGAATTATGCAAGCCAAATATAATTACTTATTAAATTCATTTTAATATTTAATATCACAAAAATAATATTTTTAAATTGAGTAAATAATTATAATATCTCATAGATCGATTTTATTTATTTAGTGTCTAGATCACAGTTGGTACTTAGCAACGGATACACAACTTTACATGGCATCATTAATAGTAGTAATACCGCTCATTAGGTAAAAAATGATTACGCAGTTTACACTTATGTATTAATTGATAAATCAAAAACTAATTCTGTCTTTCCTCTCTATAAATACAATTAGGTGGTCTACTCTTGGACTTATAATTAATTTCACATTATTGATTCTATCAATGATAGTAACTGCGTTTATAACTTACTACATGAAATTGCCACCAACTGCATTAGCTTCGGCGTATCTAAATCCTAGGTACGTTTTAATAATGCATTTTTTAAAAGTAATAATTTATACGTTTAAATTTTCACAAAATATTATTCGTTTTAGTGATCGATTCCTCGATTGGTCAAAAGTATATTATAAACCATATCCCCACGCTGGAGCATTTTGCATTGGATTAGCAACTGGTTATTTACTAGTCAAGAAGCCTCAATTAAAATTAAGTAAAGTAATACAACTTTTCCAATTTTTAAACAATTTGATTTTGTAATATTTACGAATGCAACTAATTTATTTGTAAAATGTTCAGTGGATTCTAGTCTTAGGATGGATTTGCACTTGTGTCTGTAGTGGCGCAGTATTGTTTTCTGCCAGAGATTGGAACGTAGGTCATAAACCATCACCGTGGATCTCGGCTCTTTATGCATCTACGAATCGAACTGTGTGGTCTCTCTGCGTGTCTTGGGTTGTAATAACGTCTGTGTACGGTTACGGAGGTAAAAGTTTTGCCAAATTATGGAAAATTTTATATGAATTGCAATAAATAAATTAACATTTCCTTCAAAACAGGGATCGTAAGTAAATTTCTTAGTTGTAAATTGTTTGCGCCTTTTAGTAGAGTTTGTTATTGCACTTATCTTATTCACCCGTTAATATTATGGGTATACAACGCTCAAAGACGAGATACAATTTATCCAACTTACTTTATTTGGGTAAGTGAAATAGACTATTACGAAATAGTTATTGAACGATATTAATTACAACAGACAAATTTTATATTTTCAGATGTATATGATAATAGGCCATATTGTTTTATCCTTTGTTTGTGCATTTGTGATTTCTCTCGTAACCGAATCTCCATTTCTCGCTTTACAATCAATTATTTTTGGAAGAAATAGAAAAAAGTCTGCTTCAAATGAATTTATTTCTCAGAAGAACGATATAATCGTCAAAGAATACAATAATACGCATGTTAATATTGTTTGCAGTTCTACTCTTAGTTTGCCACAGGATAAGGATTAAACGAAATATATTTATCGTCTATAAAAATCATATTCGACAAAAGATATCAATTTTTATTGCTATATAAACGACGATATCACATATTAAACTATAAAAGAACGTAAATTTTTATATATAGATACTTTCATATAACATTATTATAACTGTTATGCGATGATTGTTAATATTTTGTATAAAACTGATAGGCTATATCTAAATATCAGTGCTTAATCAATATTTTCTACCGTATTATAACGTAAAGTATATTGTACATTTTTAATTTTACAAATATGTTAATAATATATCATATTTTAACATATTGGCTTTGGCTGTGATGGCTGTGTAATTAAGAAATGTTGAACAAAGTAAGTGTTGAGTTCCCAATGAATCGCCTTGTATTATTATGATCACTTCATACTGAACGAAATACGTTATTTAATATTAAATATTAAATACCGTATTTCCGTTCAGTTAATAAAAAATTAACTGTTGCAGTTCATAATAAATGTAAATTCAATATTTACGAACTCCGTGTTATATGCTCTGTGAAGTTTGCCTATTTTCTGCAGTAGTGACCTTAACAACAGCGTCACTTCGAGCCCCTGTCTACGGCTAATTGCGCCTTTGCGCAATTAGCCGTAGACAGGGGTTGATGTGACAGTATAGTGTAAGCTCCTCATCTTGATCTCTATCCTTAAGATAATTTGTTGTTTCGTGGAATCTCGAGATTTTGTTCTTCTGTACAGTAACGGTGTTTAAATGCAGAAATAAAAGAGCGTATTGTCAGACATTTATATCAAGACATTGTTTAAAAATGGTTGTTAACACCGGTCATTCCCACACTTAAAACTCATTTAGTGCAGTTCTCGAAGCCGTATAAAACGAGCTACGTGAATACGAATGGCAACGAACGTGATGAAAAACTGTTCATATATTATTTTTCCCGACGACAGCTCTGTGTAAAATACATATCAAGGACGCTATTATTTTATTTCTAAACCGGAGTGTCACACGTGGTAGGGTCAACGAGGTATTTATCACAACATAGATCTTATCGAGAACGTTTAGTAGTTGACCGTGACGTCTTCGGAATATTAATCCGTTTTATTGAAGGTCAAAAGCGAAAAAGTTTACAACACATTTTTGCCTGATAATTAGTCCATTAAAAAACTGTATGACGAATTTCAAGATTAGATTGGATAATTATATACGGCAATGCAACACCTGGGCGATATACCGTGGGGATGCTTTTCTATAGGAAAGTGGCCCCTACAAATATAAAAAAACTCGGAAAAACTCTATGTGAAAAATTTGGGAATAAATTTCAGACTTTATTCCTAAATTTTTAATTATTTTGTTAACTAAAATTTGCTAAAACTATTAAATATATATAACGAATGTATGTGAATAATGATGTACTGTACAACATAAAGCATTTAAAAATTATCATCTCTGCTCTCAAAATTAAGCTTTTTGCCTTTGTATATTTATTAATAATATAAAATTTCTTTAAAATATCTCGTAACAGATGGTACCAAATGCAATTTAAAATCTGTTTCCGAGAAAGTTATACAACTCGTTGCTGTTTTTTTTAATTATGCCTGCGCGAGACTCAGAGGCTAGGACGTTTTAGCGAGAAGATAACCAGGCGGACAAGTTGGAGAACCCGAGAAGCTGGATTTCTTAATTTAGTTATGTTGTATTTACTTGTATTCATTTAGAGATTAAAGGTGATTTCTAAAATACCGAACTGGACTTTAAAACTCCGTGCCAATCGACTCGAGAGAAACGTCACGCGCGATGTCTCTTTTCTCCAGTCGACACTTTTCGCTTAATATGTCGGGCAATATGTGAATTTTACTTTATTTTCTTTCATTATATAACAATGCCACTTTTCTGTTAATTGTGTTAATTCTTTATAGCATTCGTTAACTGCAAGATTCACGAATTTAACTGCTAAAGTACTGCAGCGAACTTCCTCAAGTTCCAGTACCAGAACGTGACCCATTCCTATCCTGAAAATGGTGAACAAAGTGGTGTCTCTTACACGAGTTTGTTCACCCACTTTGAAGCTCAACTCCTGCGTCTTTTGTCGAAAATTTCTGAAATTTTGCATCGAGGTTTGTGTGTTATGATCAGAGCCGGCCCTACCATAGGGCGAACTGAGCAGCCGCTCCAGGCGCTAAGTCCTAGGGGGCGCTTCAGTGGTAAAGAAAATTAAAGAAAAAAATATTTTTTTCACTTTTCGATATTTTAATTGCAAGCGTGTGGCCAGTATATGAATGGCCTTATCTGTTGAGACGCGCGTGGGCGGGATTCCAACCCCGTCTACCGCAAGCAGGGGTGCCACCTGCGGTGACAACTCTGTTGGCACCGCAGGCATCGCTGTTTTAGTTGGCGAGTCCACTTCGAAGCGCCGGCACAATCTGTGAGGCCCCGGAAATAGCCCCCGCAAAAGGGAAAGATATAAGAAAAAAAACAGTTTGTTAAGTTAAATCGTCAAGAAAGCAAATTATATAAGTATCGAATCGGCGATACCCGACTTTGACATCAGCGCTCATAAAGAATAACGGGAAAAACAAACTTTTAGATATAAAAGAAGAAAATTTAAAATATTAAAGTTAAGACGTAGTTTAGAAAGCAANGGGGGCGCCATAATAGGATCTCGCTCCATCCTAAAACTTACCTCGGGCCGGCACTGTCTCTCATCGTCACATGGTGACAATTCCCTGCGAAGGGCGCGAGAGAGGTCAACTTTGCGACCGAACACGACTCCTCCGGTCGCGTTTTCCTCGACTTTAATCTAGCTATCGTTTTAAATCTTTTAACAAAAAAATTTTCATTGTTTATTTCAATCTTTAATTTTGTTTTTTTTGCGTTATGAAACGTAATTCGTTTAAAAACCCATTGAATGCCGCCTTTCGGACACCGTTTGGGTCCTCACATATTTACGATAAAAACTACATTTTGATCTTTGTCGTGTTATGAACCAGAATATCGAAGTTAAAATCCTTCTGAGAGGTAATAAGGAGTTAATAATTGTGGGAAATGGCATTTTCCTATCAAAAATAAACAAAGAAAACATGCCAGTAAGTGCAAGAGACTGATATGTAGAAACTACACCATTAGGATGTGTACCAATTGTGCACTATATCCATCATTGTGGATAACAAAAGTATATTAAGACGAACTAACCTTCTGTTCGTTATGTTGGAGACAAACACTTTAGACACTGAAGCCGTGAGCCCGAAGAAGGATTGGAAAATTACCAATCCGGAATGCATTATTAACGGCAAAACGTTCAAGAGCGGTGTACAGTTTACTGAACTTTATTTCTACGTTAAAAATTCTACTGATGATTATAATTTCGTTAAAAACTCAGTAACCCAGTGTTTTCCAATCTTTGGGGCCCGAGACTTTTGCAAGGGAGCCCGCAGCTTTTACCAAATAATCATTTTTTAATACAAAAAAAAAGTCAAATCGATGTCGAAAACATGAATCAGCAAAACGGTTAAGCCTAATTTACAACCCTTGCAACAATTTTTTTTTTTGAAAATGAGGAAAGTACAGAAAGCTTGGAAACCACTGGAGTAAGCAGTTGCTTAACATTCCCGGCAACATTTAATAGATAAAATATAAAACTGCGTGTGCGGCGCTACTATTAAAAACTTTTATCATTTTATAATAATTAAAAATATAGGAGAGCTTAATTTTGAGGTTAGGGACGGCTTTAAGTTTCAAGGAGGGTGAACAAATCCGTGTCCCCCAAACTAACATCCATACATACAGAAACCCCCGAAGTTTTTTGCATTTCTTGACGTTTCAAGATTCAGTCCAAAAATGTAAAAATCTTGGGGAGTCAGTTTTTGACCGATCGCCATAATTTTCCTCTGTTATAAACAACACAGCCTGAGAAAGTAAAAGACAAGTACAGTATTTTGATATAATATACTTGTTTTCTGCTTGTTTACTGTCGTCTGGCAACTTGCTTATTTCCTATTCTTTTCTCTTATTTCACACTTGTTCCTTTTATATCAGTGAATAGCCTAATTAACACTTTAATGTTATTTGAGGAACATGGGTGACTGAATTATGCTGGAACAAAGTACTGGTAAATTGGATTACATTGAAATTATTTTTATTTTATGATACTAAGTGTTATTAGACAGAACATCATATTTAGTATTTTCCATTAAATCAAGGAAATATGCCATATAAACTTTCAAAAAAGTTATCTCTCTCCACCTTGAGATCACTGAAGGCATTTTTTTTTCTATGCTTGTCATAATGAGAACAGCCAGATGGTGAGGGGTTATCCTGACATATCCAGGACAAACGCCTCCTTGAAAATTTTGAGGTTTCCAATCTGGACTCAAAATGTCCCCAGAGCTTTTACTGCCTTGACCATCCAACCTTTAATCCTATAAAGTATGTGACTATGGTAAGAACAAAAAATGATATTCAAAATCTAAGGCAACTGAGAATGACTGTCATCCACAAATATGAATTTTCTTTGATCATTCTAGATCAAATATTCTATTATATATAGAATATTCTAGAATATAATATATTTCTATACACAAACCATAGAAGAGGAATTTACTATATCAAGAATGTCTGATTAGTACATTGTACTTGTAATGGAAATTAATGCATTTAATTTTTCCTTGATTGGTTATCATGCAATTTTGAAAGTGAAAGTGACATTATTCAGTATTTTTATTAGATTAAAAAATTAGGGCTATGAATTAGAGCTTTATTTTTATCTGTCAAGATAACAAAAAAGAATTAATGATTTGTATCAAAAAGTCATTAATGGTTAACCTACTCAGCCTTGATTAATAAACTTTATGTGAGATCCGGAATTTTGGTGACAGAAATATCGCTCTTTTATTAACAAAATTGTTAATTAATTAAACTTTCGTTTATGTAACGCCCTGGTAGAAAAAACGATCTTGCCCGGGATTGTGTAAACTTTCCGGTCATAACTAGCAACATCCATTGTTCTTTGCAGAACTTGCATCTCATCTTGCAAGAAGGTTGACAGTTAGCATCCAAATTTTGTCATTTATTTAGATCCCCGGAACACCTATAACCCCTAACCTATGTACATCCGATCACGTGGTGGAAATTCCCCACTAAAACGGATAAAAGGCCGTTCTTACCCCCTCTCAGGGGAGTCTATTACCGAACGCAGGATTAACAACATCGCGCCGATCTTCCGAATCAGCCGAATTCCGGTCCCTGATGAATCTCGAATTAAATGAGCGCTTAAGTCGCGATTTTATATAATTTGTGCCGTATTTGTGGATTATTCCTTGGATCGATATTTTAAAGGCATCCACGTTCAGAATCGTCAAAGTGGACGGCTATAAGAGGTATGAAAGCACTGTGAAACTCTCTCTGTCGTATAGAAACTTTAGGTCGGTATAGAGCTTTGTGTAGTTTTTGTCATTTTGCCTATTCTTAATAAATTGTTATTTTATATACGTTAAAAAAATGGTAGACTCTTTTACTCGATCTCGCCCTTCACCTTATCGTCGACCCCCAATCACCTCTCCTTACACTCGCCTGACATCATATCCTGACCATTGAACGGGAGCCTTACACCCCCGTATTCGCATTTATATCAACAGAGCAATCCCCTATTTTGTGTCTTCAACTCTATATTGTTAATACATCAATGAAATTTGTTGTAAGTACATTAAATTTTTGTGATAGCACACATGAATATTCAATATCAAATATAATTTATATAAGTTTTAATGCTTCTTTAGATTAAAAAAAATTAATTTTTTTAATCTAAAGAATTATGAAATACTTTCTAACTGATATCCAAACATTTCATTTTGTAATTATATAGCCTATATTCATTAAGAGTTTCCAATGAAAACAAGTATTTCAAATTCTGTTTGAAAAATATTGCCCAAAATAGCTAATGTACAAATGTACGTTTGAAGTTTTTTCTTATAAAATAAAATATAATGGAATTGTATTATTTTACATGAACTTGATTCTGAAGCAAAACTTAAAGCTAAAATTTAAGAAATACATAACTAAAGTTTATTATTTATGTGAATAAATTTTTATCATTGTCAACTGTACATATGATGATATTTTATGACAGATATAAAAATATTTACAAAATCATTCTAAAAAATGGCTTCTATTTCTTAAACATATATACAGTTCTTATAAATTTATAAGGCAGTCATCTGAAAAAAGAATAAAGATTAGTTATTTTAATATAAAAGGATATCAATTATTTGAAGAGTTATGCCTTAGCTAATACATAATTACTGGTTTTCTTCATATAATAGTCGCAGATACTATTTTAACAGCATATTTTCTCTGCAGTTGCAATTATATTATTCTCTGCATTTTTAGGAAAGTTACTTCCTTTGTACATACATACAGAAACCCCCGAAGTTTTTTGCATTTCTTGACGTTTCAAGATTCAGTCCAAAAATGTAAAAATCTTGGGGAGTCAGTTTTTGACCGATCGCCATAATTTTCCTCTGTTATAAACAACACAGCCTGAGAAAGTAAAAGACAAGTACAGTATTTTGATATAATATACTTGTTTTCTGCTTGTTTACTGTCGTCTGGCAACTTGCTTATTTCCTATTCTTTTCTCTTATTTCACACTTGTTCCTTTTATATCAGTGAATAGCCTAATTAACACTTTAATGTTATTTGAGGAACATGGGTGACTGAATTATGCTGGAACAAAGTACTGGTAAATTGGATTACATTGAAATTATTTTTATTTTATGATACTAAGTGTTATTAGACAGAACATCATATTTAGTATTTTCCATTAAATCAAGGAAATATGCCATATAAACTTTCAAAAAAGTTATCTCTCTCCACCTTGAGATCACTGAAGGCATTTTTTTTTCTATGCTTGTCATAATGAGAACAGCCAGATGGTGAGGGGTTATCCTGACATATCCAGGACAAACGCCTCCTTGAAAATTTTGAGGTTTCCAATCTGGACTCAAAATGTCCCCAGAGCTTTTACTGCCTTGACCATCCAACCTTTAATCCTATAAAGTATGTGACTATGGTAAGAACAAAAAATGATATTCAAAATCTAAGGCAACTGAGAATGACTGTCATCCACAAATATGAATTTTCTTTGATCATTCTAGATCAAATATTCTATTATATATAGAATATTCTAGAATATAATATATTTCTATACACAAACCATAGAAGAGGAATTTACTATATCAAGAATGTCTGATTAGTACATTGTACTTGTAATGGAAATTAATGCATTTAATTTTTCCTTGATTGGTTATCATGCAATTTTGAAAGTGAAAGTGACATTATTCAGTATTTTTATTAGATTAAAAAATTAGGGCTATGAATTAGAGCTTTATTTTTATCTGTCAAGATAACAAAAAAGAATTAATGATTTGTATCAAAAAGTCATTAATGGTTAACCTACTCAGCCTTGATTAATAAACTTTATGTGAGATCCGGAATTTTGGTGACAGAAATATCGCTCTTTTATTAACAAAATTGTTAATTAATTAAACTTTCGTTTATGTAACGCCCTGGTAGAAAAAACGATCTTGCCCGGGATTGTGTAAACTTTCCGGTCATAACTAGCAACATCCATTGTTCTTTGCAGAACTTGCATCTCATCTTGCAAGAAGGTTGACAGTTAGCATCCAAATTTTGTCATTTATTTAGATCCCCGGAACACCTATAACCCCTAACCTATGTACATCCGATCACGTGGTGGAAATTCCCCACTAAAACGGATAAAAGGCCGTTCTTACCCCCTCTCAGGGGAGTCTATTACCGAACGCAGGATTAACAACATCGCGCCGATCTTCCGAATCAGCCGAATTCCGGTCCCTGATGAATCTCGAATTAAATGAGCGCTTAAGTCGCGATTTTATATAATTTGTGCCGTATTTGTGGATTATTCCTTGGATCGATATTTTAAAGGCATCCACGTTCAGAATCGTCAAAGTGGACGGCTATAAGAGGTATGAAAGCACTGTGAAACTCTCTCTGTCGTATAGAAACTTTAGGTCGGTATAGAGCTTTGTGTAGTTTTTGTCATTTTGCCTATTCTTAATAAATTGTTATTTTATATACGTTAAAAAAATGGTAGACTCTTTTACTCGATCTCGCCCTTCACCTTATCGTCGACCCCCAATCACCTCTCCTTACACTCGCCTGACATCATATCCTGACCATTGAACGGGAGCCTTACACCCCCGTATTCGCATTTATATCAACAGAGCAATCCCCTATTTTGTGTCTTCAACTCTATATTGTTAATACATCAATGAAATTTGTTGTAAGTACATTAAATTTTTGTGATAGCACACATGAATATTCAATATCAAATATAATTTATATAAGTTTTAATGCTTCTTTAGATTAAAAAAAATTAATTTTTTTAATCTAAAGAATTATGAAATACTTTCTAACTGATATCCAAACATTTCATTTTGTAATTATATAGCCTATATTCATTAAGAGTTTCCAATGAAAACAAGTATTTCAAATTCTGTTTGAAAAATATTGCCCAAAATAGCTAATGTACAAATGTACGTTTGAAGTTTTTTCTTATAAAATAAAATATAATGGAATTGTATTATTTTACATGAACTTGATTCTGAAGCAAAACTTAAAGCTAAAATTTAAGAAATACATAACTAAAGTTTATTATTTATGTGAATAAATTTTTATCATTGTCAACTGTACATATGATGATATTTTATGACAGATATAAAAATATTTACAAAATCATTCTAAAAAATGGCTTCTATTTCTTAAACATATATACAGTTCTTATAAATTTATAAGGCAGTCATCTGAAAAAAGAATAAAGATTAGTTATTTTAATATAAAAGGATATCAATTATTTGAAGAGTTATGCCTTAGCTAATACATAATTACTGGTTTTCTTCATATAATAGTCGCAGATACTATTTTAACAGCATATTTTCTCTGCAGTTGCAATTATATTATTCTCTGCATTTTTAGGAAAGTTACTTCCTTTGTACATACCCATTTGATGTCTATTATTAATTAATAAATATTTAAATATATATTTATAAAAGTTTTAATTTTTTAAAAACAAACTATATTAAAAATAGTAAGTGATATTTTTCTTTTTAATGAGTGTTATAGAGTGATAATTGAAAGTATTTATAAAAAAATTTTTGATTGAAGAAAAATTTCAGGAAAGTCTAGATTCTTTGGTTTTTGCAAATTCCTAGTTTTCCAATTTAAAAAAGAATTTATATCATAATATATTTTATATAAAGCTAGTAAACATAATATTTCAAACAGATCTGATAACTGTTGTTTTAAAAAATCAACTTTTTAAATTTTGATTATAATTAAACAGTTTAATTAGCAAAAGTAACTTACAACATTTTATTAAAGAATTTAAATATATATATATATATATAAATTATAAACATTAAACACTTACTTAAACACTGATCAAAAAACATTCTTTAATAGCATCAATCACTGTTGCTAGAATAAAAATTAAATAATGTATATTAAAATGTAATTTTATAAAAAAACATCAAAGATTAAATTACCAAAATCAATTATTAATCTTAAAAATAAACCTTTATTTTATAATTTTACCTTTCAGTATTTAGATTAGTGTATAACTTTGCAATTCCATTATTGCTGTTAATTCTTCCAGCAAATTCAACATGATGTTTTGAATGTTCACTATTAATTCTATTCGTCCACAAAGATAATAATGACTGTGGTCCAGATAACTTATTTCGAAACATATCTACTGAAGATTTGGATTTCTTCCATGGTGGAAATTTAAATCTATCATCATCATCTCTATCAACTGCTGAAGAAAAACTAAAACAAAAAATATCATCATTATTATTATTCAAATTAATGTTATTCACAAAAACTTTGAATTTAAATTTTTGCAAAAACTTCCAAAAAAAAAATCTGAATTCTTTACAAAAATAGCCAATAAAATAATCATAATGATATATTTGAAAACAACTATAATTAAATGTTGCTTACTATATATTTTATGCTTATTTTTTATTAAATTTTCATTGACATCTTTTATTTTAATTGTCAGTTATATTAAGTTTTTGTTAATATTTTATAATTTTAGTACTCATTTATATTTTTAATTTACAAATACAATAAAAAAAGGAATATTAAACAAATCTGTTAGACTATTAAAAGAATTACCCTATGTCAGAGATGGCAAACTGTGGCACATTGAAGAAATCATCTGGCACGTAACATATTATATGATTTCGGTTTATCATCTTTTTCAAACAGGTTCTTTATATTTACTCTAATTACAACATATTATTTTATTTATTTAAATATAGTTTTTTAAAACTCTTTTTGCCCTGTGGGCACTAAGAGGGCTTTTTTATTTAGCAAACTCCAAATGGAACAGCCGGGTGGTGAAGAATGAATCACCACCTGAAAATTTTCTCGGGTTTTGATCTCAGGTCCACAAGAGCGATAAGCTACCACTTTGACCGCTCGGCCATTTGGCCAAATTTAAATACAGTTACTAGAAGTCTAAAACTTCTGCATGCATAAACATTTTTAAAGAAAAGTATGCTTAATATGCTTACTATGTGGCATGCAGACTCATAAAGGTTTGCCATCCCTACCCTATGTGATAGTGTATATATAAACTTTTTAAATTTGAATAATCTCTCCAAAACTAGAGGTTGATTTATATAAAATGTAAACTTCTAGCTCAGTGTATAGATATATACCTTTCTCCACAACCAAATTCTGTTTCAGTAAGAAGACAACTGTCAGATTTTTCTTCTTTAATAAATAATTTTTCTGTTTTTTTTATTGGCAATGGATTTGTATTTGTTGATGAATTTCCTCCACTTAGTTTATCTCTTGAATTATTCTCACTTTCACTTCCTGGCTTCCTACATTCTATTAAACAATCTAAAATACTACGATGTTCTGCTGTGCTACAGTAAAGACGAACAAAAGTTTCAAGCTCATTCCACATTACACGATATTGCTCTTCCCTACAAAAAAATTAATATTAGTTTAAACAAATCTGCATAATTAATATTAACAGGAAATAAATAATATAAATATGATTATTAGAACAAGACAATAAATTAAAAATACCTTTTAGGACCTTTTCCTCTGGTACCAATGGTAGGTACTGGTAATGATGTGCCTTTGCTTTCCATTCCAACCAATTGATAAATAATTTTTTTACATTCTATAACTTCATCTTCTGTTAAAGTTGACTTTGTTACCAGAGTCAATAATGGATTCAATTGCTAAATAAATAAATCAAAAATATCACATTTAGTGTTTTCATCAAAATGAATAAAATAAAATCATTTTAACTACTGTATAAGATTTCATCTTAAATTTATAATATAAATTAAATGCAGATATATATTCCAAAATAAAACACTCATGATTACTATAATACATCAGCAACTCATTTTAAGCATGTAATCAAAAGGTTGCTAAGGATTTTTTTAAAAAATTGGAAATTTTTAACAATTACTACTAGATATACAGTAAATACTTGTATCTTGTAACTTTGAAGGTTTTATTTTTATTCACATGAAAGAAAAAATAAATAATTAGGAATTAAATCTGTTTTCACAAGAATTATTAATAGTTTTTTATCCCTCTATCAAAATATAACTTTAATTCAATATAATTCCATCTATACATTCATAAATATGAATGAATGCTTATCTGATTTTGAAACATCACGAATTTAAAATATTGTTTTAATTATAACAGTCTTCTCAAAACTACTGGAGTGAGTAAATAAACAATCACAAACAAAACATTTTTTAACCAGTAATTGAACTTTAATGTAACTTCCAAACATTTTCGGCCTTCAAGTCCTGCCTCAGGTAATGAACTAAACTGACTTCCCAAACTGGAATGTTAGAATGTTGTTGTTCGACTTTGAATATATCAAATTCAAACATGCGGACCATCCAGAACACCAGATTAATTAGGCAGGCCTTTCAACAGACCATATTCATTACCTGGAGGCTTTCAAAATTTATAAAGCCAACTTGAAAGGCAACTGTATTAACTTTAAAGATTGCAAGACAATGGCGCATGCGTAGAAGTACCTGTACAAGAAATTTGAACAAAGCCAATCAGCTGCACGAATTTAATATATTCAAAGTTTAAAGTCGAACAACATTGTTCTAACGTTCCAGTTTGGGAAGTCAGTTTAGTTCATTACCTGAGGCAGGACTTGGTGAAGGCTGAAAATGTTCGGAAGTTACATTAAAGTTCAATTACTGGTTAAAAAAGGATTTGTTTGTGATTGTTTATTGTTATAATTATTTGAAATTATATCTAGAATAAATTATAACCATCGTATAACTTTCACTAAGAAAGTTATAAAATTTTAGTCCTATGTTTCTTGAGAAATATCATAATCCATATTGACAAGAAACAAAGATTTGTCTTTGTTAATTTCAATTTTTGTTTTAAATCATATAAATGTTTATTTTTGTTATTATTATGTTTATACAGAAATTCTTAATTATTTTATTTTCAGTTATAATTTATCTTTGAATGATATCAATTTCGAATGTTCAATTTAAAATTACCGACCGTCTGATACGCAATGAAATATTTTATTTCTCATAAAATCCTATGTTTATGTGTGTTAGCAATCTGGTATGTAATAAAAGCTTATGTTTCCACAAGTAATCTGTCATAGATTAGAAGTGGAAACAAACTTTTATTACATTTAAGTAGAAACGGAAAAGGAAACATCATTTTTATAATCCCGGAAAACATTTCTAATTAGAAAAAATAATATTTTTTCGAACTATGAATCCGTTTCCTTCCTTTATTAAATTACACTTAATTAAACGTATAATATTAGTATATAAATCTTATTTGTTTAAATAAAAAGCTATAATAATTTACGTGTTGTGTGTTTGTTGAGATATTGCCACCCAATACAGGACTAATCTAACAACGGGGAGTGCCTTCCGGGAGGATTTTCTATGTGAGATTGGCCCTTATTTAGGTATTAGACACGTGAAGAAAATCCGGAAAATCTCACAGGCGTGAATTTCGGTCCAACACATACAAAACGTTGGTGTTGGANTTAAAATTATTGTATATATATATTAGATGTATAATAAATGATTCTTATGCATGATTAAATTTACTAAGGTGTAAAAAAGATGCTTAAAAGTGATACCATATAAATCTTTTATATTTAATTTTAAATCCAAAATTTGTAATCTTATCTGAATATTTAGTTATCCACAGTAGCCTCAGTCTACATTACCTCAGTTAGTTGGGATTCTAGTATACATAAAGTTATTTTATTTATAACAGTATTTTTATTGAGTTTTTTTTATATATTTTTTGATGATGCTTAATTGTAATTTTATTTTGCCAAGGAAAAAAGTTATTAAATCACTTTTATAAAATAGTTAGCTGAAATCAAAATATGAATGGATTTGATTCATTTGATCTGATGCACAGAAATGAGAGAATTCAATCTGTTGGATTTTAAAACTTAATAAGCTCATGAATATAATAAAGCTTATATATAAAACTTTCAATTTTATGTATTCTTTTTTTTGCTTGAAGATAACATTTAATATGTCAAAAGTACTTGCATTTAATTCAGCAAATGAATAAATATAACACTGAAAGACAGTACAATTTCTTCCTGTTGGATTTTTTGCTGGACCAAACCAATGAAGTCACGTGTTCAGTATTTGAAAAATAATGGCAGCTAATAGACATCTGAACTAAAGTCATAGCCAATAGCCTTTCTTCATAGTTCTAAATCAAATTTCTCAGATAAACAAAATTTTCAAAACTACTTTCTTTTCTACCTTTGCTACTTGTCAAGACTTTTCAATGAAATTATAGTGAATGTGCCAATTCATTATTCCCTTCTAGATAAAATTGCATGACATTATTAATTCAATTCAAAATTCTAGAACAGTCTGACACAGACAAAAATGGCAAATGACCATACATTCAGAACTGCACACATTTTGTTCAAACAGGCTGACCACTTCAAATTTCATTTGATCAGTTTTTGCTGATGTCTACTTTTGGCCTATTAATGACCACAGCATTAGCCTATCGTATTCAAATTCTTTCACTTTACACCCACCAGCCATCAGACAAAATTTCCTATTTATGCAAGAAACCTGATAACAACCAGATGGAAACTATTTACTCTAGCAAACAATTCTATCAAAGCCAGGGCTGTGGAGTTGCGTAAAAATCTACCGACTCCAACTCCGACTCTTCCTTACCATCCGACTCCGTTTCATATACATAACAAGTTGGTAAGTAAAAGAAAGTCGGAGTTGGCGGATTTTTTGACAACTCCGACTAAAACACCAAAACTCCATGACTCCGACTCCACAGCCCTGATCAAAGCTTATAAAGCTGAATGTTTTTGGAAACTAACTTATGTCCTTCCCAACAGTCAAACCTTGGTTATCAATGTCTCACTTTTCAAAGAAATCAGTTCACAAACAGAATTTCAAACTCATATTTGCACTGGTTGCCATATGATAACTTGGTTACCAAACAAGTTACTTGGCAAGAGCCAGCCACAGATTAGAGAGAGACAGATGGTTAACTCCCTATATTTCCTGTGTTAAAGAAAGTCAATGGCCTGACCAATCAACGACAGGACTACTGATTCAGAAGTTAATGGTATTGAGATTGCATTGTGTCATTAGGTGTCAAGATACAAATCATCAATGAAATTACTATTACTATTTAAATTAGATTTCAATGCACATGTGAGAAAGATACTACCATTTTTTGGTACACATCACATTTCAATATCAATCAAATTGTTTAATATAAAATTATAGTTCTAACACAGCAGAACCTCAATTATCAGTCCCATTTAACCAGAGGTTTTGCATTATCTGAGGCAAACTTTTCTTATACTGTAATTCATAAAAGCTTTGAATGTATAAATACAGCACTACTTTTAACCTCAACTGTTTTGAGTGATTCTTAAAATTATTGTATATATATATTAGATGTATAATAAATGATTCTTATGCATGATTAAATTTACTAAGGTGTAAAAAAGATGCTTAAAAGTGATACCATATAAATCTTTTATATTTAATTTTAAATCCAAAATTTGTAATCTTATCTGAATATTTAGTTATCCACAGTAGCCTCAGTCTACATTACCTCAGTTAGTTGGGATTCTAGTATACATAAAGTTATTTTATTTATAACAGTATTTTTATTGAGTTTTTTTTATATATTTTTTGATGATGCTTAATTGTAATTTTATTTTGCCAAGGAAAAAAGTTATTAAATCACTTTTATAAAATAGTTAGCTGAAATCAAAATATGAATGGNTATATATAATATTTTACACTGCATTTGTAGGCATTTTTATGCATGAAATGCAGCTAAAATTGTAAAAAAGGGCTTTATTTTGGAAGGTCAGGAATGGAATAATCTATTTTATATTTTTTTTTACAGGAAAATTTGTTTCAATTAAAAAAAAAAGAAAGAAAAGGTTTTAGAACAACTTCAACTTTTAGGAACGAATTACATTCAAAAATCTTTGTTTGACTGTACAAAGTTTAATAGAAATAGTTCAGATGTTCTCACAATACTCAGACAATAGACAGCCATGAATGCAATTACATATATATTACACTAGCTTACCCATCGCGCATTGCTGCGATCTCAGAAGAAAGGAAATTCAAGCAAACTCGTTATGATAAAATTCAATTTACATTTTATTATTTTTATTGAATCTATTTCTATACACAAACCATAGAAGAGGAATTTACTATATCAAGAATGTCTGATTAGTACATTGTACTTGTAATGGAAATTAATGCATTTAATTTTTCCTTGATTGGTTATCATGCAATTTTGAAAGTGAAAGTGACATTATTCAGTATTTTTATTAGATTAAAAAATTAGGGCTATGAATTAGAGCTTTATTTTTATCTGTCAAGATAACAAAAAAGAATTAATGATTTGTATCAAAAAGTCATTAATGGTTAACCTACTCAGCCTTGATTAATAAACTTTATGTGAGATCCGGAATTTTGGTGACAGAAATATCGCTCTTTTATTAACAAAATTGTTAATTAATTAAACTTTCGTTTATGTAACGCCCTGGTAGAAAAAACGATCTTGCCCGGGATTGTGTAAACTTTCCGGTCATAACTAGCAACATCCATTGTTCTTTGCAGAACTTGCATCTCATCTTGCAAGAAGGTTGACAGTTAGCATCCAAATTTTGTCATTTATTTAGATCCCCGGAACACCTATAACCCCTAACCTATGTACATCCGATCACGTGGTGGAAATTCCCCACTAAAACGGATAAAAGGCCGTTCTTACCCCCTCTCAGGGGAGTCTATTACCGAACGCAGGATTAACAACATCGCGCCGATCTTCCGAATCAGCCGAATTCCGGTCCCTGATGAATCTCGAATTAAATGAGCGCTTAAGTCGCGATTTTATATAATTTGTGCCGTATTTGTGGATTATTCCTTGGATCGATATTTTAAAGGCATCCACGTTCAGAATCGTCAAAGTGGACGGCTATAAGAGGTATGAAAGCACTGTGAAACTCTCTCTGTCGTATAGAAACTTTAGGTCGGTATAGAGCTTTGTGTAGTTTTTGTCATTTTGCCTATTCTTAATTAATTGTTATNAAGAAATTAAGAAATTTATTTAAATTAATTAAAACGTTCATATATATAATATATAATATTATATAAATAATCAATTTTTAATTATTGTATTTACTAAATAAGATTGATTTATATATGTTCCAAATCTGATTTTTTTTTAAGAATACATTTTGAAAATTAAGATTCCAACCAAGTAGTTTTCTTAAAAATCAAAAAAATGATTTAGATGATTTACCTGCTTTATTTTTATTAGTACAAAATTAATCAATAATTAAATGAATATTTCAATAGAAATAAACAATCATCATCTCTTAATTTAATAAATAATTAAAATTAAAAGATGATCATACCATAGTTATATTTGAGCTAAATATTAATACAAAGCTGAATCTGGCATATTCTCCATCTTCTCTGCAGTACTACTAAGTGTTTGGTGTTAATTGGTATCATTACAATTTTCTACAGATTTAAATTAAGCAGATAAAGTTAATTTAAGCAAACTATTTTTATGTTGATTGTGATAACTCCAATGATTCTGCCATATGGTCTCTCTTTTTTCCTAGTTTCCATCTGCTTTATAATCTACATTTTAATTTCTAAAAATATCAATTTAAGTTTTGAGACACTGTGCACATTATATTATACTATTAGCCCAAGACGCCCCCTAGTGGGAGTTCTTTACAAATTTCCACGAGGCACAGTTCCTTTGACTTTTTTGTTTCTATCAATATGTTCTACAGCTCCGGCCTGTAAACCTCGATTGTAAATGTATCTGCCATTTTTTCAACAAATTTCATGTGAGTCAATGCGCGATGTTAACCGAGTCACGGGATGTCATAAACGTGTGGCACAAGGTTAATCAAGACATATAATAAGGCAAGGCAAGGCATATAATAATTATTTATACCATTCCGTGGTATAAATAATAAATTTGTATCAATAATAAATTCCTATTACAAATAAAAATAATTTATTGTTAATTTAAAATCTTCACTAGGGTGCCTCTAATGTCCGTTATCATACCGTTACACTGACAGACGGATACCCGTTGAATGGGTTATATATATAGATTGGTTTATAATACTAAAAACTGAAAAATCACTAAGCACTTACACTTAAACTTTGCATCCTACTTACATGCTACAACAACAAAAAATGGTTCTTTGGTCATGGGAATACCTGATGAGAGTACCAAAGTGATGTAGTGTATGTACTGTACATTAGTCTTTTATACTGTTTTGTTATAAAGGAGCTTTGTTTCCAGAGAATCTGCTAACTGATGTACAATTGTATCATATAGTGTTTATTTGTTTGTGAAAATGTCACAAAGATTAATATTATTTAAATTCTCAAAGAAAAAATCCAAATGTTTTGGTCACCAGTAATGGCCATAGCAGATAATCGAAATGAAAATTTTTTTGAATGATGAAATATGAAAAACACATGACTTATGTGGTTTTTCTTTGAGGATTTAAATTATGAAAACAAAAAAAAAAAAAATAGTTATTAAGAAAGTGACCATTCAAAAGAGATTGTTCTATTTTTTCCAAAACTAAAAACTAAGACTATTATTTAGCCTTAGAATGAATAACTGTCTACATACAGAGTTCTTCATCCAAAATATTTCTTATTTTCCAGATATACTTTAATTTATTATTATTATAAATATGATACAAGTAATATAAGGAATATTTTATTTGCACATTTTATATAATGAAACTTATGATTACAATAACTAAAAATACCAACTATTAATGCACTGATTCTATCAAAAGAAAATTTAAAATAAAATTAATCTCACATTAATTCTGTAATCTGTAACTCTGCCACCACAACCTTCACTTATTGAGGGAGGATCTTCTAAAATTGATCTACTTGTACCTAAAGTATGGATAAATATTTCTCCACCATGACTGGCCAGCATATGAGAGAGAACTTTTGTACCAGTTTTGCGTGGCATTTCCAACATAACAGCACGTCCTATTGAAGATACATTAAAAATTTATCAGTTGTTTTAATTATTATTGTATTATTTATCTTCTTTGTTAAATAAAAGATTTCTAATTTGTAAAGATCTCAGAAAATTTAATATTATATATTTACATTTATAACAAAGATTTTATCATCAATTAGAGTAATGTACTTTAATTAATTGCATGTTACTGTATAAACCATGTATTGATATATTCTTCAAAAAATAATTTATAAAATTTCCTTATTCAAATTGCTAGATATTTTAAGGCAGATTAAATTAATAACTTATGTGTTGCTAAATTTAGTTATAAAACTAAAACAGAAATACAGTGGAACCTCACTTAATGAGTACCTTGCATAATGAGTAATTCGCATAATGAGCAAAACAAATTGTAAAAAATGACTCACTTAACAAGTGACGTTTCACATAACCAGTGACAAGGAGAGGGGAAGTCCCAGATTGTGCGCATGATCTATCAGTCTGCGTTTAGCACTTGTTCCACTAGCATCTTAGTGTCGCTTGTGATCACACATATCACGTATAAACATCAACAACCATAGCCCGTTATATAATAAACACACCAAACAATATGCCAAATTCTTGGGCTATGTAAAGGCTATAATTAAATATTAGAAATTAATTAATTTGACTAGAGATAGGCAGTTATGCTGCCTTCTCATATTAAATTTAATGACCAATTCCAAATTAAATTTTAAAAATGCCTAAATTAAAAATTATTTATTTATAATTATTAAATTTAATATGAGATGGCAGCATAACTGCCTATCTCTAGTCAAATTAATTTNTATTTTATTTGCACATTTTATATAATGAAACTTATGATTACAATAACTAAAAATACCAACTATTAATGCACTGATTCTATCAAAAGAAAATTTAAAATAAAATTAATCTCACATTAATTCTGTAATCTGTAACTCTGCCACCACAACCTTCACTTATTGAGGGAGGATCTTCTAAAATTGATCTACTTGTACCTAAAGTATGGATAAATATTTCTCCACCATGACTGGCCAGCATATGAGAGAGAACTTTTGTACCAGTTTTGCGTGGCATTTCCAACATAACAGCACGTCCTATTGAAGATACATTAAAAATTTATCAGTTGTTTTAATTATTATTGTATTATTTATCTTCTTTGTTAAATAAAAGATTTCTAATTTGTAAAGATCTCAGAAAATTTAATATTATATATTTACATTTATAACAAAGATTTTATCATCAATTAGAGTAATGTACTTTAATTAATTGCATGTTACTGTATAAACCATGTATTGATATATTCTTCAAAAAATAATTTATAAAATTTCCTTATTCAAATTGCTAGATATTTTAAGGCAGATTAAATTAATAACTTATGTGTTGCTAAATTTAGTTATAAAACTAAAACAGAAATACAGTGGAACCTCACTTAATGAGTACCTTGCATAATGAGTAATTCGCATAATGAGCAAAACAAATTGTAAAAAATGACTCACTTAACAAGTGACGTTTCACATAACCAGTGACAAGGAGAGGGGAAGTCCCAGATTGTGCGCATGATCTATCAGTCTGCGTTTAGCACTTGTTCCACTAGCATCTTAGTGTCGCTTGTGATCACACATATCACGTATAAACATCAACAACCATAGCCCGTTATATAATAAACACACCAAACAATATGCCAAATTCTTGGGCTATGTAAAGGCTATAATTAAATATTAGAAATTAATTAATTTGACTAGAGATAGGCAGTTATGCTGCCTTCTCATATTAAATTTAATGACCAATTCCAAATTAAATTTTAAAAATGCCTAAATTAAAAATTATTTATTTATAATTATTAAATTTAATATGAGATGGCAGCATAACTGCCTATCTCTAGTCAAATTAATAATTTTCTAATATTTAATTATAGTCTTTACATAGCACAAGAATTTGGCATATCATTTGGCATGTTTATCAGACATATTATCTGTGATTTTTCTTGTTTCCTGCAAATCGAATTTGCATTCCAGGTTGATTCATTTCGTGTTAGAAGAAAAGATAGTGATGATTCATGCTCCTTAATAATGTATATTGTATAATTTTTTCTTAATAAATGTTAGACATAAAATATTTGGATATTTTTTTGGCATGGAACACATAATCGTATTTTACATGAATTTATATGGGAAAAATTGTTTCGCATTATAAGTATGATTCTGAAACGAATTATGCTTGTTCCACTGTATTATGTATTTACAAAAATAAATGCCAATAAATTCTAATAAAAATTTTCATTGAATTCTAGTATTTTGTTGTTATATTTTAATTTATTTCATTAAAATTCTAGACTCTGTTAAGTTTATAAGGTAAGTATTAGATAAATATAAAATTTGTTGAATTTAGAAGAATGAAAAATATTAACAAACCTAGAAACAGAAATTTTTATAAAATGAAATTATAATGTTTTATTCTGATTTCTATTTCTAATTTCATTTTATAAAAAATTATTATAGAATTAACTTTAATTAAATTAAGAATATTTAACTCTGTTTTAATACTGGAAAAATTTTTATGAAAATTTTACATATTAAATTTTATTTTGATTGACAGTTCTCAGTTCAGTATATTTTGTACTACTTAGAAAAAGTAATGCTTGTCAATTAAATATTAAACTCTGCTTCCTTTAAAACACTTAATAAACCTTTAACACCTTCTAACACTGAGAATATTTTATTTAAACATTATGCTTGTCTCTTGAAATTTAGACTGTTTTCTATTTTCAAATGTTACAATATAAACAGTAAAACAACATAGTATTTAAAATTGAAGTATTTTCATTGATATTTATATCATCATCTATACCAGAGGTTCCCAACTTATTTTTATCATGAAACCCCTTTCACCTTAATAAAAAATATTGGAACCCTGCAAATATCAACAAATTAAAGCATACTGGGTAAACCATCAAAATACACCTTAAGTTGCTGAGATAATTTATTAAAGTTAAACTAAGTGGGGTTGTAGAAGATATCTTACAAAAACATACAATTAGGAATCAAGAAAAATTATATTGGCATTACAACAAGAAGTTTGGGAGTCAGGCTTAAAGAACACAAATATAATGTCAAGAAAGGATCCAACACTACAGTTATGACAAGTGCTAAAAAAATTGAAATTTTTAGAAGCAAACTAGAAGATACATGCATCAATGCAAGGAACACTGAAAATTTACAGTCTGCATAGAAATACATGGTTAAGAAGTTTCCTAAGAATACCTAAATTATGCTTATTTTATGTTTTTTCATATTCCAGTTTTTTATAATTATATCTTAATATTTTTCAATTACTGTTTTATTTAAGGTTTATTATTATATTTTGTTTTCTTTTATTTATATATATATATATATATATATGTAGTCTGTTTTTTTCCAACCTCTGATGGTCCATGAAACAAAGACAAGTGTAAATAAAAAAATGAATTTACAGTGGAACCTCAATATACGACCTTAATTCATTCCTGGTGTTTGGGCTTATACCGAACCAACCTTTCCCGTAAGAAGTAATGTAAAAATGATTAATCCGTTCTCATGTAAAAAAAATATCTGGCTTTAAACACCTCGCTTTCTTGGCTAGTTCCTGCTTGATTTTTCATGAGATCAGGATGTATCTTTTTAGCTTTCTTGCAAATAATTGCTTCTGATATGCTGTTGCCGGCACACTGTTTTTCAGTTGTCCAAAGCAAAAGCAATTTCTCGACATGATCTAATGTCTTCGATCTATGTTTAGAAATTGATTTAACCCCTTTCGCAACATTAGCAGATTTAATAATGTCTTTATTTTTCATGATTGTCGATATCGTCATTCTCGGAATACGGTATGCAAGAGTTAAATCTTGAACACGCGTGCCACCTTCATATTTCTCAACAATCTCTTTTTTCAGTTCCATTGTGATTTTAGTCACTTTTTTATTTTTCTGTTGCCTTTTTTGCAATTCATGATTAATAAAAATAATAACATTTTACTTACAAATTAAAATAAAAAGAAATTTAACAAAGTTATAAACTGTGGCACAGTGAACGTCTAGTCTGGTCTAGTACACCGATAGTGCTACTTGTTCATAGATGGTGCGTATAATTGAATTAAGTCGTATACCAAACAGAAGTCGTATACCGAGCAAAATTTGTTTCGTCCAAACAGGACGTATTCCGAATTGGACATATTCTAAAGCAGACGTATACTGAGGTACCACTGTATTACCAAAAATTAGGCACAAACATGGTTACTTTTCGACATATTCAGCATGAAGATCAAGGAATTTGTGTATCTGTGGACGAGCTTCGAAATCCCCTTTTCATAGAATGTTGCCACCAGTGACTTGAGATGGGCCTTAACATTGTTTTGAAAATCGTCATTAGTCTCAAACCTCTGTCCTCCTAGCCACATTTTTAGTTCAGGAAAGAGGTGGAAGTCACTTGGCACTAAATTGGGGCTGTACACTGGGTGTTTAAAAAGTTCCAAGCTAGATGGAAGTCTGAAAGGTGGACGTCTTCATACCTTTAATGTGTGAACACTTCTACCTCTTTCCTGAACTAAAAACTTGGCTAGCAGGGTAGAGGTTTGAGACTAATGATGATCTTCAAAACAATGTTAAGGCCCGTCTCAATCACTGGCGGAAACATTCTATGAAGAGAGGATTTCAAAGCTCGTCCACAGATAAACAAATGTCTCAATCTTCACGGTAACCATGGTCAAAAAGTAACCATGTTTGTACCTAACTTATGGTAATAAATTCATTTTATTATTTACACTTGTCTTTGTTTTATGGACCATCGGAAATTGAAAAAACTGTCCTCATATATATAATTTTTTTGTTATTTTATTATCTTCCATTATTTTTTGTATTTAAATTTGTGTATTCTATTTTGGAACACTGATGTTCTAATCTTCTCCTTTAACCTGAAGATGGCCTATTGAATAGGCTGAAAACATTAGTTTAGCTTTAATAAATTATCTCAGCAACTTAAGGTGTATTTTAATGGTCTACTAATTACTTGCTGAGTGTGTTTTGTTCATTGCATACTGGGTAGCCACTTTACATTAAAATCAAAACCAAAAATAAAATTACAATTAAAAATAAAATCAAATTTAATTAATTAAAATTGAAATCAAATTAATTGAAAATTACAATAATAATTTTTAAAAACCATTTAAAAGTTGTTTTGAAATTTTCAAATTGTAAATAAAATTTACAAATATAAACACCAACAGAAACCTGATACTAAGCAAATATACACCCACAACTGCCATAAATGGTCAAATTATAATTTGGATATAATGATTGTAGATTGGAAATGAATTTGACACTAGAGAGAGGCGTTAGGCACCATCTCACATTAAAATTAATAATTATAATTTTTGATTAAATAATTCAGATTAAACTGGAAGAAACGAATTGGCTTGAAGCAGGACTTGAACCCACAACTCCTGCTTACTGTACGGATGCATTGCCAGTTACACTACCCAGACCTCGGGTCCAATCTCTTCTTCCAATACATATAAGCTTAAGATACACCCATTGTTGGTTATTACGGTGCTGACTGGGGTGCATTCAGCGTCCTCATCCAGGAACATCCACTCAAGGCACTCAGTCAGCCATCACAAACTTGGCAAGGCATACATATACAAATATAAACACCAAAAGAAACCTGATACTAAGCAAATATACACCCACAACTGCATAAATAATCAGGCTATAATTTGGATAAATTTAAAAATTAAATTTATTTTTAAATTTACGTTATTTGTGTGCACTGGTGAAAGAACATTTTACTTTTAATATATTTACAGATTTAACAATTGTATTTTTATCTATATATTAAATCCTTTTTAAGGTTTTATGATTTTTATGATTTTTTGAATGATTTTCTAGCTTTAGTTTGTTTTACTGTTTTTATGGTCTCCATTACCTTGTTAAACCGTATATGATGATTTCAGTTTGTTCCATTACCAATAAATTGGTTCCCACTGTTTATAAAGCTATAAATAACTTTAGCATGTATATACAGTAGAGCATCGATTATCTGACCCCTGATGTACTGTCACCTTGGTTAACCGACTGCATTCTAGTCGGCAAATTCAAATGTCCGCTAGTGATGTGGCACTACAATATTTGGCTATGTCTTGGCTACTTTAATATTATTTTTACGTGTTTTAGCTGGCAACACTCATTCGACCATGAAAGGGAGCCAGTATTTAAACGAGGCTTAATTTTCTAATTTTTAACGATACAATAGCGACGATTATTATTTTAAAAAATTTTTGTTAGGCTTAACATCGATGAAAATTCAACGCAAAGTAGGTTAATAGCGATATACTAATATACTAATTACATGGGATATAATAATATACTACACTGATAATGGATTTTTTCATACTTTTTGGTTATCCGACTTTTCAATTATCCGACCAACCCCAGTCCCCAATTGAGTCAGATAACCGATGCTCTACTGTAGTCTCAAATGGAGTCCTCATATCATCATACAAGGACTTGATCCAAGACTACAGTAATTACACCTCACATCCCAAATCTGCATTGGAACATTCATACATCATTAGATTTAATGGATTTTATTGTGGAACACCAAATTTTTATTAGCAGAACCCTAGGGTCCATGAAACACAAGTTGTGAATCCCTGATCCATATCATAATCATCATCATCAAAGAAGAACCTACATTTTAAAAACAACTTATTATAAAATTTAGATCAGGAAAAAAAATCAAATTAAACGAACAAATACTTAAAAATTAATATTACTATGTAAATTTAGGAAGTATACTTTTCAATTTAAAACTTATATATATTTGTTTAAAATGTCTAATTAGAGGATAGACATGTTACATGATTAATCAATCACAATATGAATTGCTTCAGAAATAAAAATATTTTAACTAAAATAAATTAAATTTTAAAAGAAATGAAGAAATAATTAATTTTTTAATTATTTATTGATATTAATGAAAATATTAATAAAATTATATATATTATAAATAATTTATTTAAAATTTTAACATTTAAATGTTACTAATAATATAATTTGTACCATTTAATAAAAAATTTGTAAGGCAAGATGATGGTCTGCTATTTACATCAACAGGAGTTATGCGATATGAACCAGTACAATACTGAAGTTCTGAAAAATATTTCAATAATACAGGAATTTATAAATATAAAAAAGTTGAGCTACAAAATATTTCATATGATAGATTTAAAACTAAAGTCTATAGAGAAACTTACCAACTGCACTGGATCGAGGAGTACACCATTTTAATGTCACTGTTTCATACACTTGGCCTTCTTTAACTGTACTTACATGAATTCCTTCGGTATTTACAAGGCCTACATAAATATAAATATTAGTAAAAATTAATAAGTACTCATAAATACATTTTAAGATAATTTTATTTTTTCTACTAACAGTAATATCTATTACTTCAATGGTATAATGTCACAATCTGTTTTTTCAAGAATTAAAACTCAATACAGTGGGTGATCAATTAACAAACATAATCTGTTTCAAGACTTTGTTCACTATCCGAATCATTTGTTAACCGATTATTGATTTACCATTGGTTTTAATGGGAATTTAATTAATTCGTTCTGGAGACCCCAAAAAATAAAAAATATATACTTTCTTACTACATCATTAAAATCAAAACCAAAAATAAAATTACAATTAAAAATAAAATCAAATTTAATTAATTAATTTAGATTAAACTGGAAGAAAAGAATTGGCTTGAAATAGGACTCGAACCTGCAACTCCTGCTTACTGTACGGATGCATTGCCAGTTACACTACCCAGACCTCGGGTCCAATCTCTTCTTCCAATACATATAAGCTTAAGATACACCCATTGTTGGTTATTACGGTGCTGACTGGGGTGCATTCAGCGTCCTCATCCAGGAACATCCACTCAAGGCACTCAGTCAGCCATCACAAACTTGGCAAGGCATACATATACAAATATAAACACCAAAAGAAACCTGATACTAAGCAAATATACACCCACAACTGCATAAATAATCAGGCTATAATTTGGATAAATTTAAAAATTAAATTTATTTTTAAATTTACGTTATTTGTGTGCACTGGTGAAAGAACATTTTACTTTTAATATATTTACAGATTTAACAATTGTATTTTTATCTATATATTANATTAATAGCATTGCAATTGTAGAAATCCCCAAGCCTCAACCTGCTTTGGAGGCCATTCTAAGACCGTTGTTCTGACATCCTCCCACTTCTTCAAAGGAACTTTAATAACAGATATCAGTATTAATCCTCTTTTTCAGAAGAAAACATATCTCGGCGAGTTTCTTGGTGTTCTTCATTCAAGAGTTCTTGGCATTCTGTCGTCAGATACATTTCAGGTTCCATTATGAACTCTTCGATGTTCTTTATTTCTCAGATGTGATTTTTGTTATTCCTTTATGTTTGAGTCTTCTTGATTATACAGTATTTTTCTTAAATAAGATTGAACTGTGGCCTACTGTAGACCTGTTCACGCCATACTGCCCAGCAACATCAGACATCTTTTGCCCACTCTCTACCTTTGCTATTATACTCTCATCTTTCGAAAGGAAAAACAGATGCAAAACTTAATGAGTGCCTACCCGACAGTCTCATGAATACATAAAAGAATTGTTTTGTCAGAAAAATAAAAGGCTGGAATTACAAGGGAGAGTTTCAAGTTCAGAGGAATACTATCCGATTGGTATATACCAGTTTGAGCGTCAATGTCGACATCTCTCACACTCTGAAAAGTTTCGAATTGTTGCCCGAAGACAAGGGAAGACCAATCAGTATTCATTATTTTACATCACTTCTTTTTGTGTTTTTTCTGTGGGGTGTTCATTATCCAATCATGTGTTTGTTGTCCGAACATAAAAATCTTTCGCGAAAGTGTTCGTTATCCGATCACCCACTGTATTATGTTAACTTTTATACATCACTATATTTCCTTTCAAGATATTAGATTATATAATTATTTTAATAAAANATATATAGACTACAGAAAAGCATTCGACAGTGTTCCACACAGTTGGCTGCTACCTTACAATTGAACAGAAACACATGGCTCACATTATAGAAGGTCACTATATTGAATACATGTCATATTGTTAGGAAATTCCTAAATGCAGACACACACACTGTCACAGGTTTTTAACTTTTGTTTTGTTTTGGTTACTTTCCTTGACTCTTACCCAACATAGTACACAGCCATTGGTGTCAACCGAGTATAACTCACAAAACATAATAATAATATAAAACACTTGCACTTACATTGCACTTCAAATTAAATTTTTATCCAGAAATAAAGAATGAGTGAATTTTGAATTTGAATTTTCATATTCTTGATATTAAATGAGTTTTGAAAGTCATTATAATAAATTTATTTTTTTCATTATCAAAAAAAGGCATAATAGATTTAACTAATACATTTAAAGATACTTTATATACCATTAATATAAACAGCAACAATTTATCTTTGAAACAGTAGATATAAACATAGACATAGATTTATTCCAATAGGAAAAGGAGTGCATGAAGTTAAATAGAGGCATTAAAAAATGTTATATATTTAAGAAAATAAATTCAGAAAATATATCAATATTTTCTTCCATAACTGTATTTATTGTTTTCAAGTAAAAACTCATAAAATTTNTTAAAAATTTTTAAAATAAAATAGCAAAACAAATGGCACCACTAAAATTTTAAATGTTGCCAGAAAAGTTAAACAACTCACTGCTGGATTTTTTAGAATATGTAGTGATGAATTTTGAGTTAGTAACATTAGAACTTAGAATGGTCTTTTAGTGTAAGGTTTGGGCCTTTTTCATGGAAAGTTTTTTTTTTATTTTGGTTTATCTAGATCAATTTTTTGAGCTGACAAGTGAAATGTCATTGTTGAGAAAAGTTATCAACAATACTCAAAAGAAAATATAAAACTGTATTTAGTTAGCCATTGCTTTAATTGAAATTACTGTGGACCTACACAGATAAAAAGTTTTTTTTTAAGTTAAGACCTTGAAAACTTTATTCATTTAATACTTAAATATATTTTGAGGAAAAGAAATACAATAGAAGTCTAAAACTAATATATTTACCAAATTCAGATTTTGCTCTGATTGCGACCATGTATTTAAAGTCCTTGTAGTGTTATCACTGATGATAAACTGAATCTAAAAATAAAAATGAAATTGTTTTGTAAAATATAATTTTTATATATAAAGTCATTCTCTAATTTACAGTATACTAGCAGATGAGCCCGGCATTGCCTGGGTAAAAATAACAACAACAAAGATTAAGATTATTAGATTATTTCATGAAGATAAAAATTACATCCCAATTCAATATTTCCAGCAAAGAAATTCAATCTTCTAATGTTTTCAGCCACTACTTTATCATTATTTCATACGTTTAACCCTTTTTATTATATTATATTATATTATATTATAGTATTTGATTTATATAACTACAAAGGTGATTTAAATTGTGTATAGTAGAGAAATAAATAATTTTAAAAATGTGTTAGAGGGATCACTTGGTGTGATAAACCCTTATGTAAGATAATCTTCATAGTTATATAAATCGAATACTATAATATAACAAACACTAAAACAAAAACCACACAAAGTTTGGTTATTTCAGCCTACCATTGTCATGTTTATCACAATACTACAATGATACAAAATGGTACAATTTCATTGGCCAAGTAGATACCAATTGAAAATATGACATGTTAAATTTTTTAAGATATCATATTTTCTCCTAATATTAACTCTAAGAAACTGTACCATTCACAGCCAAATATAAAATAGTAATTCTGCCAATGAATGAAATTTTGTGAAAAATGGACCAAATATTTATAATTCAGAAATGGACAGCACACCAATCGTTTAATAAGAGAAACTTCTTAACATATAGGCATTAAATTACAAATGAATATTTAATACTGACCAAATATTTAAACTTGACACCCTTGAAAACCACTTTAAAAATATTTTGTGCAGGCTGGTAACCTTATATTATGTAATTTTTCAATTCAAATGCCATCAAACGACTGGTCCAATAGAAAGAAGGGGCTATTGCTGAAGGGGATTGAAGTAATTTGATCAAAAGTAATCAATGACATCCTCCTGGAAAAAAGGATGGTCAATGACTACTACTTAATACTAATCTGCTATTAATATTTGAAAAGTAATCCATGTTGATAGGTTGTGATGGCCCTGCATGTGATCGAGTTGTTAACCTTAATATCTGAAAGACTTCATATGACTTATTTAAATAAAAAATCTTGTAAAACTGTGAAAATATTTGCTTTTATCTAATAAGTGTTTATAATTTTGCAACAGATTGTATAAACTATGTGGGAAGTATGTTCTCATGAATATTGCATTTATAGAAAGATTATTGGATTGCAATTTGAAAAAATTGTAGCCTATAAATTCCGACTGTCCTCCACCTGTCTTTCCTTCCTTGAGGAGTGTATAGCAAACAAGCAAATAAACATCCTCATTCATATATATATAAAATATAAACAAAGAGAAATAAAAACTGAAAATATAAAACTCCAATATTTACCAGTTTTCCTGTTGGATAAATATCCCATACTATTCTACAGTATTCAATTGCAGCTTCAACAGCACAGGTCCATAAAGATTTTGCTATTGGAGCAAGAGGTATTATACCTGGTTGCCTTGTCTTAGTAAAAATATCAAACTCAACGGTCTGTTTGCAGGAAGAATGAAATTGTGGACTATGATCTAGCACAAATATTGTTTTATGACTTGTTGGATAACTCATGATGTCAACTAACTGCTAACCTGTAAAGTATGAACTGTTTTGAATAAATATAATAAAATTTCATAAATCAAATATGAATGTATTTAAAGTCTAAAATTCTTAAGAAGACTTAATGTATAAATTTTAAATATTTTATAAATGTTTACAAAAGATTTAAAAATTTGCATATTACTATCATCACATGAAATCAATACAATTATGTAAATTTGCATAAGATATTCTTACTTAAAAAATTTTATTTCTAAATAAATATAACTTCATATTCTGATACAACAAATCATTCTTAACATTTAAGAAACACTTGACTCCATAATGTATTCCAGAATGTAATGTAATTCAAAAAATCTGCTCATCTAAATATATAAGTCAGTCAAAACAAGTAATTTTATATATTTAGATTACTTGTCTTGACTGACTGACTGATTGATTCATCATGCCCAGAGCAAACTGCTGAACCTAGAGATGAAATTTGGTACACAGTTAGAGTATGCCATGAGGATGCACACTAAGAATGGATTTTTGGAAATTCCCCGTGGGGGGAGAGGGAAAGCATTCAGGCTTAACCTGAAGAATGGCTTCTACTGTACTATTTTAGATGCAATTTTTTTTCAACTATGTTTAGTCTTCATTGAGTACTTAGGTGTATTAAATTGATAACATTTCAGACATTGTTATAAATATTTTTATATATTTTGATTTTTTAGCCAAATGCTCAAACCGTTTTAAATTTGAATTTGTTATGCCTATTGGTTCGATTATAGAACAAATGCAAACATTCCAGAAAATTGATCAAATTGAAAACAGTTCATTAGGTGTTATATAACAATTACTAGGGTTGTTGAAATACTGAATATAAATGGTGTTTGCTTGAAAAATCTGCACAAGCGAAGTTGCGGATAACAGCTAGTATTTTATAAAATTATAGCTTTAGTTCTGGATTAAACATTTTTTTACAGTTTTTAGATTTGTTTGACTTCATCTTCAGATCCAATTATTAGAATCTTATTTAAAAATCCTATGAAAAATGCTTAATCCAGAAATAAAGTTTGGACTTTATATATACTGTAAGTGAATTTTTTGAATAGTTCATTTCATGACAGTTGATTTTTTTCTTAACATTATTTGAAAATAATTTCTTAAAAATATCAGAATTTATTACGAACTTTGCATATATTTTAGCAGTTTTTTCTCAGTTTAAAACAAAATTATTTGTAATTTTGCTAAAATCTGATAATTGTTATAAACTGTAATAATAATAAATCTATCAAATCTGTCTATCAAATCTATTTATGGATGTTGTCATTTTAAACATATCAAGAGAATTTTTACAGTATAAATTGTATGTATAAATTGTTTAGTGCATGTCATTTATATGTAATAATAATTAATAGATTATAAAAAGTTAATTTAAAAAAATAATAATAATATTAGTAATATAAAAAAATTACAAAGTATAATAATGTATAAAAAAAATTCAAAGCCGCACATGCATGTCTTTGAATTTTTTTTATACTCATAGTTTGAATTGTTAGAATTAATCAGGCATTATATGCCTGGCAAGCTTGTACTGGAAATAGGGTCTGAATTTCTGGTTTTTTCAGTTTTATGGACACAGGCTAAATATATACTTAAAATATAAAATGAACAATGAAAAGTAAAGAAAAAAATTGTATTTTACACTGGAACTGGCATTGTGCAATGCATATTCCAAGGAAAAAACAAAGTAGCTATATGGCAAACTATAGTTGTAAATTCAAAATTATCTGGTTTTCTGGTAATTTCAGATTTTTGTAAGCTAGATATTTGATCCAGTATGAATTAAAAGCAATACACCATGCATACAAAATTTCCAGTAAATGCTATGTATTCAAATTAAATACATAATTCAAATACATAGTATTTGCTGGAATTTTGTATGCATGGTGTATTGCTTTTAATTTATGTATGTTCCAGCTATTAGTGACTTATGGTCCAGTATGATATTGTGTTTTGCTAAATAATAAAGTTAGAAAAACAATACAAATGTCATGAAATATATAATGTTTGGAAGCTGTCCTTTTGCATATAAAATATCAATAAATATTTGTTTTAATGATGTATCATCTAGAAGAAATTTTAAATATTAAATGGGAGTTATTAAATTAAATTAAACTAAAGCTCATTTGAACTGATGTGACTATTACAAAGTACAGCAAAAAACATTTATTATTGTGCATAATGCATCATACAGTCTACTTGCAATGAAGGCCTAATGTTGTTTTAGACTGCAAATGCAAGATACAATCAATTGTAAGATGCATTTCTAATTCAGACAAAGTAAAGATGGTTAAAAATGCATCTCAGAATCAATGAAATATGGCAACAAACTTAAAAATAAGTAGAACACTTGAATAAAAACTTCTCTAGTCTAGTGCATATAATATTAAAAATTTTTAAAATAAAATAGCAAAACAAATGGCACCACTAAAATTTTAAATGTTGCCAGAAAAGTTAAACAACTCACTGCTGGATTTNATTAATATATGTACAAACATTAATACCTTCTTAAATACGTAATGCATACTATTCTTCCTCGATTCATCACCTTTCCAGCATTTTCTGTGAGAGATGTTCTTTTTTCATGTTGAACTTCACTACACTGACAAAGAGATTCTATTGCCGCTCTCAAACCATGATGAATGTTACAATCTTTTTTCATTTGTGTATCTGGTGTACCAACATGTGCAAGAGAACTCATCAGCTGTAAAATTTATTTATATGTATAATTAGATAATTTAAATTATCTTATTTTTTAATTAATTTTTCTAATGTTATCTAATTTTGTAAACTAGATTAATTTTGAATGTTTGAGATATTGTTGTGAATTATTATTAATTAATACTCTATAACTTCATTTCAAACATTCTTGTAAAACTTAAGAATGTTTATTAGATATTTAAACACATTGGAAAACTTTCATAACAACCATTTAAATGTGTTAAAGTATACAAAATTTAAATTGTAATCACAAGTTCTGAAAATTTTCTTCATGCTGATATTACAAGTAAGGAATGAAGGTAAAAAGCATATTTTTTCCAGGTTTCCTTTGTTGAAAGTACTTAAATACTAAATTGTTTGGTGCAACTCCTGTTACTTTAGAAGATATAAAAGCATATTTAACAAATTTGAGACTAAAAAGCATATTTTGTTACTTTCTTAGGTTTTATGCATATTTTATATTTCACATGTTGATAGCATGATAGATTTCAATAACTAATTGCCAATGAATCATTTTTATTTTTAATTGTCTACTTGGACGTTACTCATTAATAGGACTTTATACTGTTATTTAAAAATTGACACAATAATGAGAGTTAGTTCAGAAAAAACAAATTTTCTTTATTATATTACCTGTAGTAGCAAGTAGATGATTAAAAATAAAATTAGAAGTAAGGACTGTAAGGCAATTATAATAAAGTCAATGAATCATCTTTATCATACCCATCACAGCCAAGTCTTATTAATATATCTAAATTAATTAAAATTTCAATGAATAATTTATGTATATAGAAGTATTAAGTTTACATCTATTATTAATTTTGAACTATTTCATCTCACTTTACACTGAAGTAACTAACCACATTTCTACTGCCTCAAGGCAAAAAAACTCTACCTTCAAAAAATTTTAAATCAAGTTGTATACTTGATATTGTACGTAATTAGTATCCTTTATTGATTATTCTGACTGCTTTTTGTCCTGTTGTCCTGGTCTGTATGTTTTGTCTTAGTACACTTTTCCCAAAGACAGACTTAACATACTGGATTAAATATAGAACAGAATGATCCTGAGGCACATAATTTATAGAGTAATTCTGTGTATTTATTTTACAATATTCATTTCAGACAAGACAAGTTCCTCTTCAGTCTTAATACATAGATCCTTTTGTTTAGAATTTGTAAGTATATGAATATACATTAATAATTTCATGGTAAAAACCTTACAACATACAATTACATGCAGATGCAACAAAACTCTACCAAACAAAAACATTTTAACCAGGATATAATCTTGAATGAAAATTTGTTCAATTCAATACAACCACCAGAAAAACTGATGAAGCCACAATGAATTCACAGTACCATTATACTCTAGTAGAATTTACTAACAATATCTCTTTTACAGGTCTCTCTTACACATCCTTTATTGATACTGCCCAATATCTAGAGTGAAAAACATTCTGTAATAATTACATAAAATATTTTTTATGCTAGGTAGTTTGTAGCATCAATGAAGAATAAAGAATACTAATTAGACATGATACCAAGTGTTCAACTTGATTTTAAATTATCTGGAAATAGAACCTTTTGTCTTGGAGTAGCAGATTTATTGACAAAACATAGATAAAAAATTTAAAGCTGCATTTTAGATCAATTGCACATTAGATCAATCACATACTTTTAATGCTTAAGTAAGTGAAATTAATACAAAATTATAATAAACTAGTAAATTAATCTTCTAATAACAAGACATAAATCAAAATATAATTCAACAACATTATGCAGGCCTTGCACATAAGTGAGAAATCTGTTATCTGAGCAGCAAAATGATTTAATTTTGGAAAAATCTATCTGTATACTTGGTATTGTACCAAAAAAGTGTAGACCAAAATTGTTAATAACAGATGTCTCACTTACATGCAAAACTTTCAAACAGTTGATGAATTGTATTTTAATAAACTAATTTCTTTGATAGTAAAAATTATATTATAAAATCAGAAGAATTATAATTGAAACATTTTGAATTTATGATTTGGTTATTTCTCAATAAACACTCAGATTCTTTGACTATATTGACACAACCACCTTATGTATCCGAGAAATACTATTTATTATCCTACAAACGTTTTCTACCTGCTCCACAGGTCATTATCAGGTATATTTGAAATTTATGGAAAGTTTCCTTGTATCTGTTCCAGTTCGAACGCTTATGTGCAACCAAAATTCAAATTTCTGTATCCATTCAATAATTCTTTAAAATATAAATATATAAAAAATAAATAGAAAATAATTAAATACANAAAAAAAAAAAAAAAAAAAAAAAAAATATAATATCCGTGGGATGGTTACATCCATCACCCTACCATCCAATTAGCTTTTTTAAATTTATATTTACCTTCATTGGAATTCCAGTAACTGTGGTAGAAGCTAAATTATAATGCTGTTGCACTAAATATCCTAATTTTGCTGCAAGATTGCGACCAGATTTCACAACATGAATCTCACTTGTTATTTGTGGTGTAAGCTAAAATGAATAAAAATCATATTTCAAAATTATTTATTCTGCAGTAAGTAGCTTAATTAGTAAGTAGATAAAATTTTACTTATGGAACCCTAATGGAGATACTTCCATAATCTTGTTAACATTGCAATTAGATGATAATGTGTTCAATTCTGGAGACAATCCATTGTTTTTTAGTAATAGTCAGTAGACTGTAATTTGAAAAGTGTAATGTGGTGTGTCTTATCTTGTAATGCACAGTTGCATTACTGGTTTGATAAATTTTAAATACTTTTTGTGTTTGATGGAGTCATGCAAAACTGTGCAAGAGATTTGTTGGAGATGCACATCCTTGGATGTTTTCCAGTTAATGTTTTCTTTGTTTCCTGACATTGATGTCAATGAGCAAATTTTTTTTTTTTTTTTTTTTTGCTATTGAACACAAGACTGTGTTATTATTAAAACACTTGGCATTTATCCACTTTATTCAGTTGATTTTGAGCAAATTTTGTCAGATGTGAAGTTGGGATTGCAGCCAATGGAAGTAATTTTTGAAAAGTATCAATGTTGGCAGAAAATAACTTTTCAGTGCCATAAATGCAACCTGTTTACTTCAGTGTTCAATGGCACTTTTAAAAGTAATTTTGAAAAAATTTGTCAGGGAACTATTCTGTTGTTTGTGTGACATATAATTTGCATTGAGTGCACATTGACTGTGGCATGTAGTGCTGTAATTGGGAAATAATCATAATGTGCTAAATTTCATATAGCACATTATGATTATTTCCATTTTTAATTTAGCATTAATGAAAATTGATGGTCCCAGCAATGCATTTCACAAAATGATATGTTCAGTTTGTATTTATATGCCTTTATCTACAAGAAACTTTAACTTTGAGAAAAGTTAAAACCTGGCAAACATTTTGAGGTGTTTGTTCAGCATACAGGGAAAGTGTACCAAGGAGCAAGGCACACTGCAATGTGGCAAGAGTCGGAAATCATTCCTACAGCTCTGAAATCTACAGCAAAGAAACATGTTCAATGCAAGGAAAATTTGGGCCAAGATATGCATTTTGAGCACAGAAGAAACAGCCAAAAAATTTGTTTGGAGTATGGAAGAACCAGAACAACCTTATACATCTAGTGGTGTTCTGAAGAGAAAGAAAAAATGCATTTAGGCATACATTTTCAGTGAGTAGAATTTAATACATTTTGATTGTTGTGATAGATAGCAGTGGCACTAGTTGTTATCCTGTAGACATCATGTTTACAAGCAAGGATGATGATTAGCATTATCATTGGGATTCCATATGTAAAAATTTACCAGTAAGGTAAATTTCCTCTTAATATTACACTATTAATTAAGTTAAGCTACTTAGCTTGTATCTTAATAGTATAATACTAATGGAAATATATATGGACAATTCTTATTCTTATCTAAGATGTTATATTTAATTTACATTAATTATTAACTGTAAAAAAATTTTTTAAATTACATATGATGGTATGCAATAATTAATTAAAACATACAACTTATAAGTTTTAATTATAATTTAAATTGAAATAAAAACTTTAAAATTTAAAGATGATACAATATTAAATGTTTCTTTTCACTTAACTCATTTTTACATACAAAAATATAATTTCAATAATGATATAAATAACTAAAAATAATGAAGACAATTCTATATTTTTTTCTAGAATACTTTCAAAAAATTCTCCTCTGTCAAATGTTTATACAAGGTGCGTTTCATAAGTAATGCGACCAATTTTTTTCATGACGCGAGGATATGCCGTATCTAGTTCTAACCTGCTGCACTAGATGGCGTGAAGTGTTGGCTTCAAAACTCACTCGGTCTCGTTTGCTTCCAAAGTGCCGGCATGCGAGGATGTTTGATCCCATGAACCCCGTTTTCAGTTAATGTAACATGGCACAATAAATCATTTTGTGGAGCAACATTACGCTATCAAATTTTGCATTAAACTTGGAAAGTCTGCCACCGAAACCTTTAAATTAATTCAGCAGGTCTTTGGTAGTGATTACTTGTCCAAATCACAAGTTTTCTGATGGTACAAGTCATTCAAAGATGGCTGAGAGGAGGTCAATGACGAACCACGCAGTGGACGTCCATCAACCTCCTGAATCAACGAAAATGTGATGCGTGTGCATGATTGTTTGAACACTGACTGATGGTTGAGCCTTCAATTGATAGCAGACACTCTAAACATGACAAAAACAACTGTTTATCGCATTGTGACTGAAGATTTAAACATGAAAAAGGAGTGTGCCAAACTGATCCCAAAAGTGTTAACTGACGAACAAAAGGACATGCGAGTGCTCCAGTGCCAAGATCTCTTGGAAATGTGTGAAAATTATTCTAATTTTTTAAACCCAGTTATCACCGTTGATGAGTCATGGATTTTTGAGTACAACCCTGAGACAAAAAGACAGAGTTCGGAGTGATACACCCCAGTGTTTCCCCGCCCCAAGAAGATATGCATGAGCAAGTCCAGGATCAAAACCATGCTCATTGTCTTCTTTGATGTCAGAGGCATTATCCACCATGAATTTGTACCTGCTGGGACCACTGTAAATGCAGCTTTCTACTTGGAAGTACTCAAAAGACTGAAAAGGAGGGTCATGCGCCGCCGAAGTGACATCAAGGACACGTGGAAACTTCATCATGACAATGTGCCAAGCCACAGTGTCTTCATTGTCAACAATTTCCTGGCCAGGACCCACACCTCATTAGTTCCACAGCCACCTTACAGTCCTGACCTGGCTCCCGCCGACTTTTTTTTGTTTCCTCGCTTAAAAAGGGCCATGAAAGGGAAACATTGGGACACAATTGAAAACATCAAGGCTTATGTTACATCAGCTCTAAAAGACATTCTGGAGAAGGCCTTCCAGGCCTGGAAACACCACCTTCACAAGTGTATCGATGCAGAAGGGTGCTATTTCGAGGATTTTTGACTAATTGTAACAATATGTTCAATAAATGATTTTTTATGAATTTGGTCGCATTACTTATGGAACGCACCTTGTATATTTTGTTGATCAAATAAAAAATTCTTACTTTGAAATTAATATTAAATTTCAAATAAAGATTTTTTTTTTNAAAAATCAAACATAAACAATAATTATTATGTTTTGAAAAGGTATGGAAACTAAATAGTTACTTTTAACATAAGAAAAATTTATAAGCTGAATGGTAAAGCCTACATAAAGTTAAGTTGTTTTCTGTTGTAATATCAAAAGAGAATAACAGTGCAAAATATAAAAAGAATCTGTTAACTATAATTTTAATTATCGAATATTTATTTATAATCCAAAAATCATCATCATCATCTATTTATTCTAATTCTAAAGTAGTAATTATGATAAATATCAGAAAATATAACATTGAAATAATAAACTGTACTCCTACTTTTGATATAAGAGCATTACTCTGAAAATAAGATTATTAAGGAATATTTATTTACCTTAATGGTACTACCAGAAACTCCATAAAACCTAAATAATGTTAAAGTACAGTACTGTATATAATGTAAACATAGATGATAACTGTTTGTTTATATAACTTCAGAAACAAAATTCTGCTATTCAGATATTATTTCTATGTACTGAGACATACTCAGTACATAGAACAGTACATAAACTATGTACTGAGACATATTCAGTGTAACTCCTCACTAATGTAGATTTAAGATTTAAATAGGCTATTTTGTTTAAGTGCTTATTTAAGATTCCAATTAACTGTTTTATGAACTTAATATTGAAAGTTTTAAAAAATAAATTGGGGAGAAGAATTCTAAATACACCTAAAATAAACTGTAAATTTGGACTTTATCAATAATAGGCCTATTCAAACTTTCATAATTACAAAAATGAAAATGAAAATCATTGAATGTATAAAAGATATCTGAAATATCTTAAAAAAAAAATTTAATTATTTATTCAGTTAAGTTACACGAAATAGTGCTATTTTCTCTCAATTTGTTATCAAATAAAAACTTCACAACACCGGCATGATACTTACTGTACATAATTTAACGTTGCCAACCAACATTAAATCATTCCTATATTATATATTTTAAGTTATAAAGTTTTAACAAATAGAAAAAAAATATTTATTTTTCACAACAAATAATTTTTATTTGCATTATAAAATTGTTCTTAAAAATTTAATATTTGGAAATTTACAATACTGTAATTTTATTGTCTATAATCGACTATTTTCATCGATTTGAATATGCGTAAAGTGTGAAGCAGATTAAAAATACCGATAAAATCTACCAACTTTTTTTTAATTAACTCTTTCCGCCCTGTGGGCACTAAAAGGGCCTCTTTTTGCAAGCCCATTATGGGTTCGGCCAGACCCACAATGGGGCTGCCGGGTGGTGAGGGACGGGGCCCGACATATCCGAACGGACCACCCCCCGAAAAATTCCTAGGGATTTTTCGACCCGTCCAGGATTCGATCCCGGGTCCCCCCAGAGCGGTTGGTTGCCATCTTGACCGCTTGGCCATCCTGTCGTTATCGTTAGTTGAGTGTTGTCACACTCGGTTATGAAATCATTTGAAAAGACATGCGTTTTCATTAATTGTCGTTATTAGAAATATTTGTTCGTGTTAAATACTGTAGTTAAGTTTGGCCGGATGGCCGAGCGGCCAAGGCGGCAGCATACTGCTTTTGGAGACCCGGGCTCGATTCCGAACGGGTCGAAAAATCCCCAGAAATTTTTCGGGGAGTGGTTCGTTCGGATATTTCGGGCCCCAGTCTCCCCATTGTAGGCCTGACTGAATCATAATGGGCTTGCTAAAAGATACCCTCTTAGTGCCCATAGATCGTAGGAAAGCGTTCAAGAAAAACTCAACCAATGATATTCACATAAACTTATTTTGATTAATAAACTTTAATTTAGAAATTTTTTGGTGTGAAACTACACGCTAAAAATTATTTTTTTTCTAATGACAATGACATTTTATAAAAGGTGATTACGAATCAATTGGATCTTTAAATAATTTTACAAGAAATCACGACATCGTTGTTGAGAACTTGCCTAGATAATAGCAGGAAGCTTATCGTATTGTGGTGCTCACATGTATATGAGTTGAGATTCCTTTCGGAAGTCTTCTTAATAAATATTTGGTTCTTTTTATTTATTTATTTATTTATTTTTAATTTTTTTTTTTGCAAAATTTAATTGNTTGGATCCATGTATTTAGTTATTTTCTATTTATTTTTTATATATTTATATTTTAAACAATTGTTGAATGGATACAGAAATTTGAATTTTGGTTGCACATAAGCATTCGAACTGAAACAGATTCAAGGAAACTTTCCATAAATTTCAAATATACCTGATAATGACCTGTGGAGCATGTAGAAAACGTTTGTAGGATAATAAATAGTATTTCTTGGATACATACAGTGGTTGTGTCAATATAGATTTGGTTATTTTTACTTTACTGGCTTTGTTATAAATGACAGAGGGAAAGTATGGCAATCAGTCAAAAAATGACTCCCAAGCTTTTTAAATTTTTGGACTCAGAGGACCTTGAAACATTGAGAAATGCAAAAAAATTTGGAAGTTTTTTCTGTATGTATAAGCATTTGTGTGTAGGGGGACATGATTTAGTTCCTCTTTGAAGCTTAATAACTCCTGTACTTTTTGTCAAAAATTTCTGAAATTTTACACGGAGATTTGTGTATTAAGGGGATTGATTCTATTAAATTTTGATGGTTAAAAGTCAAGGGGTGGGGGAGATAAAGGAGGTCATGTGTCATATTTCAAGTAGAGTTGGACTTAATGACAATTTTACTCGTTATTAGCATTTACAATTTTTTATAAAACCCATCCCTACCTTCAAAATTAAGCTTTTTGCCATTTTATAATAATTAAAAAATATTAAAAATTTTTAAAATAAAATAGCAAAACAAATGGCACCACTAAAATTTTAAATGTTGCCAGAAAAGTTAAACAACTCACTGCTGGATTTTTTAGAATATGTAGTGATGAATTTTGAGTTAGTAACATTAGAACTTAGAATGGTCTTTTAGTGTAAGGTTTGGGCCTTTTTCATGGAAAGTTTTTTTTTTATTTTGGTTTATCTAGATCAATTTTTTGAGCTGACAAGTGAAATGTCATTGTTGAGAAAAGTTATCAACAATACTCAAAAGAAAATATAAAACTGTATTTAGTTAGCCATTGCTTTAATTGAAATTACTGTGGACCTACACAGATAAAAAGTTTTTTTTTAAGTTAAGACCTTGAAAACTTTATTCATTTAATACTTAAATATATTTTGAGGAAAAGAAATACAATAGAAGTCTAAAACTAATATATTTACCAAATTCAGATTTTGCTCTGATTGCGACCATGTATTTAAAGTCCTTGTAGTGTTATCACTGATGATAAACTGAATCTAAAAATAAAAATGAAATTGTTTTGTAAAATATAATTTTTATATATAAAGTCATTCTCTAATTTACAGTATACTAGCAGATGAGCCCGGCATTGCCTGGGTAAAAATAACAACAACAAAGATTAAGATTATTAGATTATTTCATGAAGATAAAAATTACATCCCAATTCAATATTTCCAGCAAAGAAATTCAATCTTCTAATGTTTTCAGCCACTACTTTATCATTATTTCATACGTTTAACCCTTTTTATTATATTATATTATATTATATTATAGTATTTGATTTATATAACTACAAAGGTGATTTAAATTGTGTATAGTAGAGAAATAAATAATTTTAAAAATGTGTTAGAGGGATCACTTGGTGTGATAAACCCTTATGTAAGATAATCTTCATAGTTATATAAATCGAATACTATAATATAACAAACACTAAAACAAAAACCACACAAAGTTTGGTTATTTCAGCCTACCATTGTCATGTTTATCACAATACTACAATGATACAAAATGGTACAATTTCATTGGCCAAGTAGATACCAATTGAAAATATGACATGTTAAATTTTTTAAGATATCATATTTTCTCCTAATATTAACTCTAAGAAACTGTACCATTCACAGCCAAATATAAAATAGTAATTCTGCCAATGAATGAAATTTTGTGAAAAATGGACCAAATATTTATAATTCAGAAATGGACAGCACACCAATCGTTTAATAAGAGAAACTTCTTAACATATAGGCATTAAATTACAAATGAATATTTAATACTGACCAAATATTTAAACTTGACACCCTTGAAAACCACTTTAAAAATATTTTGTGCAGGCTGGTAACCTTATATTATGTAATTTTTCAATTCAAATGCCATCAAACGACTGGTCCAATAGAAAGAAGGGGCTATTGCTGAAGGGGATTGAAGTAATTTGATCAAAAGTAATCAATGACATCCTCCTGGAAAAAAGGATGGTCAATGACTACTACTTAATACTAATCTGCTATTAATATTTGAAAAGTAATCCATGTTGATAGGTTGTGATGGCCCTGCATGTGATCGAGTTGTTAACCTTAATATCTGAAAGACTTCATATGACTTATTTAAATAAAAAATCTTGTAAAACTGTGAAAATATTTGCTTTTATCTAATAAGTGTTTATAATTTTGCAACAGATTGTATAAACTATGTGGGAAGTATGTTCTCATGAATATTGCATTTATAGAAAGATTATTGGATTGCAATTTGAAAAAATTGTAGCCTATAAATTCCGACTGTCCTCCACCTGTCTTTCCTTCCTTGAGGAGTGTATAGCAAACAAGCAAATAAACATCCTCATTCATATATATATAAAATATAAACAAAGAGAAATAAAAACTGAAAATATAAAACTCCAATATTTACCAGTTTTCCTGTTGGATAAATATCCCATACTATTCTACAGTATTCAATTGCAGCTTCAACAGCACAGGTCCATAAAGATTTTGCTATTGGAGCAAGAGGTATTATACCTGGTTGCCTTGTCTTAGTAAAAATATCAAACTCAACGGTCTGTTTGCAGGAAGAATGAAATTGTGGACTATGATCTAGCACAAATATTGTTTTATGACTTGTTGGATAACTCATGATGTCAACTAACTGCTAACCTGTAAAGTATGAACTGTTTTGAATAAATATAATAAAATTTCATAAATCAAATATGAATGTATTTAAAGTCTAAAATTCTTAAGAAGACTTAATGTATAAATTTTAAATATTTTATAAATGTTTACAAAAGATTTAAAAATTTGCATATTACTATCATCACATGAAATCAATACAATTATGTAAATTTGCATAAGATATTCTTACTTAAAAAATTTTATTTCTAAATAAATATAACTTCATATTCTGATACAACAAATCATTCTTAACATTTAAGAAACACTTGACTCCATAATGTATTCCAGAATGTAATGTAATTCAAAAAATCTGCTCATCTAAATATATAAGTCAGTCAAAACAAGTAATTTTATATATTTAGATTACTTGTCTTGACTGACTGACTGATTGATTCATCATGCCCAGAGCAAACTGCTGAACCTAGAGATGAAATTTGGTACACAGTTAGAGTATGCCATGAGGATGCACACTAAGAATGGATTTTTGGAAATTCCCCGTGGGGGGAGAGGGAAAGCATTCAGGCTTAACCTGAAGAATGGCTTCTACTGTACTATTTTAGATGCAATTTTTTTTCAACTATGTTTAGTCTTCATTGAGTACTTAGGTGTATTAAATTGATAACATTTCAGACATTGTTATAAATATTTTTATATATTTTGATTTTTTAGCCAAATGCTCAAACCGTTTTAAATTTGAATTTGTTATGCCTATTGGTTCGATTATAGAACAAATGCAAACATTCCAGAAAATTGATCAAATTGAAAACAGTTCATTAGGTGTTATATAACAATTACTAGGGTTGTTGAAATACTGAATATAAATGGTGTTTGCTTGAAAAATCTGCACAAGCGAAGTTGCGGATAACAGCTAGTATTTTATAAAATTATAGCTTTAGTTCTGGATTAAACATTTTTTTACAGTTTTTAGATTTGTTTGACTTCATCTTCAGATCCAATTATTAGAATCTTATTTAAAAATCCTATGAAAAATGCTTAATCCAGAAATAAAGTTTGGACTTTATATATACTGTAAGTGAATTTTTTGAATAGTTCATTTCATGACAGTTGATTTTTTTCTTAACATTATTTGAAAATAATTTCTTAAAAATATCAGAATTTATTACGAACTTTGCATATATTTTAGCAGTTTTTTCTCAGTTTAAAACAAAATTATTTGTAATTTTGCTAAAATCTGATAATTGTTATAAACTGTAATAATAATAAATCTATCAAATCTGTCTATCAAATCTATTTATGGATGTTGTCATTTTAAACATATCAAGAGAATTTTTACAGTATAAATTGTATGTATAAATTGTTTAGTGCATGTCATTTATATGTAATAATAATTAATAGATTATAAAAAGTTAATTTAAAAAAATAATAATAATATTAGTAATATAAAAAAATTACAAAGTATAATAATGTATAAAAAAAATTCAAAGCCGCACATGCATGTCTTTGAATTTTTTTTATACTCATAGTTTGAATTGTTAGAATTAATCAGGCATTATATGCCTGGCAAGCTTGTACTGGAAATAGGGTCTGAATTTCTGGTTTTTTCAGTTTTATGGACACAGGCTAAATATATACTTAAAATATAAAATGAACAATGAAAAGTAAAGAAAAAAATTGTATTTTACACTGGAACTGGGATTGTGCAATGCATATTCCAAGGAAAAAACAAAGTAGCTATATGGCAAACTATAGTTGTAAATTCAAAATTATCTGGTTTTCTGGTAATTTCAGATTTTTGTAAGCTAGATATTTGATCCAGTATGAATTAAAAGCAATACACCATGCATACAAAATTTCCAGTAAATGCTATGTATTCAAATTAAATACATAATTCAAATACATAGTATTTGCTGGAATTTTGTATGCATGGTGTATTGCTTTTAATTTATGTATGTTCCAGCTATTAGTGACTTATGGTCCAGTATGATATTGTGTTTTGCTAAATAATAAAGTTAGAAAAACAATACAAATGTCATGAAATATATAATGTTTGGAAGCTGTCCTTTTGCATATAAAATATCAATAAATATTTGTTTTAATGATGTATCATCTAGAAGAAATTTTAAATATTAAATGGGAGTTATTAAATTAAATTAAACTAAAGCTCATTTGAACTGATGTGACTATTACAAAGTACAGCAAAAAACATTTATTATTGTGCATAATGCATCATACAGTCTACTTGCAATGAAGGCCTAATGTTGTTTTAGACTGCAAATGCAAGATACAATCAATTGTAAGATGCATTTCTAATTCAGACAAAGTAAAGATGGTTAAAAATGCATCTCAGAATCAATGAAATATGGCAACAAACTTAAAAATAAGTAGAACACTTGAATAAAAACTTCTCTAGTCTAGTGCATATAATATTAAAAATTTCTTTTTTTACAAAATAAAAAATTATTTTATTGGAATCAAGTTAACAATTAATATTTCAAATGTTTTAACAGAAACTAAAACAAAACCTTTTCAAGCAATTTCAGGCTAGTCATAAAAAAAAAAAAATATATATATATATATATTTATCACAAAATATAATAGTAAATTAACAAAAATCAAACATAAACAATAATTATTATGTTTTGAAAAGGTATGGAAACTAAATAGTTACTTTTAACATAAGAAAAATTTATAAGCTGAATGGTAAAGCCTACATAAAGTTAAGTTGTTTTCTGTTGTAATATCAAAAGAGAATAACAGTGCAAAATATAAAAAGAATCTGTTAACTATAATTTTAATTATCGAATATTTATTTATAATCCAAAAATCATCATCATCATCTATTTATTCTAATTCTAAAGTAGTAATTATGATAAATATCAGAAAATATAACATTGAAATAATAAACTGTACTCCTACTTTTGATATAAGAGCATTACTCTGAAAATAAGATTATTAAGGAATATTTATTTACCTTAATGGTACTACCAGAAACTCCATAAAACCTAAATAATGTTAAAGTACAGTACTGTATATAATGTAAACATAGATGATAACTGTTTGTTTATATAACTTCAGAAACAAAATTCTGCTATTCAGATATTATTTCTATGTACTGAGACATACTCAGTACATAGAACAGTACATAAACTATGCACTGAGACATATTCAGTGTAACTCCTCACTAATGTAGATTTAAGATTTAAATAGGCTATTTTGTTTAAGTGCTTATTTAAGATTCCAATTAACTGTTTTATGAACTTAATATTGAAAGTTTTAAAAAATAAATTGGGGAGAAGAATTCTAAATACACCTAAAATAAACTGTAAATTTGGACTTTATCAATAATAGGCCTATTCAAACTTTCATAATTACAAAAATGAAAATGAAAATCATTGAATGTATAAAAGATATCTGAAATATCTTAAAAAAAAAATTTAATTATTTATTCAGTTAAGTTACACGAAATAGTGCTATTTTCTCTCAATTTGTTATCAAATAAAAACTTCACAACACCGGCATGATACTTACTGTACATAATTTAACGTTGCCAACCAACATTAAATCATTCCTATATTATATATTTTAAGTTATAAAGTTTTAACAAATAGAAAAAAAATATTTATTTTTCACAACAAATAATTTTTATTTGCATTATAAAATTGTTCTTAAAAATTTAATATTTGGAAATTTACAATACTGTAATTTTATTGTCTATAATCGACTATTTTCATCGATTTGAATATGCGTAAAGTGTGAAGCAGATTAAAAATACCGATAAAATCTACCAACTTTTTTTTAATTAACTCTTTCCGCCCTGTGGGCACTAAAAGGGCCTCTTTTTGCAAGCCCATTATGGGTTCGGCCAGACCCACAATGGGGCTGCCGGGTGGTGAGGGACGGGGCCCGACATATCCGAACGGACCACCCCCCGAAAAATTCCTAGGGATTTTTCGACCCGTCCAGGATTCGATCCCGGGTCCCCCCAGAGCGGTTGGTTGCCATCTTGACCGCTTGGCCATCCTGTCGTTATCGTTAGTTGAGTGTTGTCACACTCGGTTATGAAATCATTTGAAAAGACATGCGTTTTCATTAATTGTCGTTATTAGAAATATTTGTTCGTGTTAAATACTGTAGTTAAGTTTGGCCGGATGGCCGAGCGGCCAAGGCGGCAGCATACTGCTTTTGGAGACCCGGGCTCGATTCCGAACGGGTCGAAAAATCCCCAGAAATTTTTCGGGGAGTGGTTCGTTCGGATATTTCGGGCCCCAGTCTCCCCATTGTAGGCCTGACTGAATCATAATGGGCTTGCTAAAAGATACCCTCTTAGTGCCCATAGATCGTAGGAAAGCGTTCAAGAAAAACTCAACCAATGATATTCACATAAACTTATTTTGATTAATAAACTTTAATTTAGAAATTTTTTGGTGTGAAACTACACGCTAAAAATTATTTTTTTTCTAATGACAATGACATTTTATAAAAGGTGATTACGAATCAATTGGATCTTTAAATAATTTTACAAGAAATCACGACATCGTTGTTGAGAACTTGCCTAGATAATAGCAGGAAGCTTATCGTATTGTGGTGCTCACATGTATATGAGTTGAGATTCCTTTCGGAAGTCTTCTTAATAAATATTTGGTTCTTTTTATTTATTTATTTATTTATTTTTAATTTTTTTTTTTGCAAAATTTAATTGGTTGGCAGATTACCGTTTGATATTAGGCTGTGAATAATACAGTTTCTTAAAGTCAACATTAGGAAAAGATACGACATAATTTTTTTTAGTTTTCATATTTTCAATTGATGTCTACTTGGCCAATGAAATTGTGCCATTTCGTACATCCGAGTATCGCGATAAACGTGGCAATGGTAGGCTAAATTAATTAAAATCTTTATATGGTTTTCGTTTTAATGTTTGTTATTATAGTATTTGATTTATACAAAGGTTATCTTACGTAATACCCCGTTCTTTCCTTTCGATAGAGGAGTGTGTTGCTATTCGTTTTTACTCCGAAAGGAAGAAGAGACAGAAGATGGATCGCAAGGCGACGAAAGAGTCGGCCTTATAGAAGACGGTCAGAAGAGACCCAGTCTTTAATGGGAGCTGGCCCATATTTAGGCATCATCTGCAAGGAGAAAACCCGGAAAAACTCCAAGCTGCCAGCTTGTCCAATCGAGCATGAACCCACAACCGAACTCCAGTGTTTAGGGTCTGGTCACCGCCGCTATGAGCGGAGACTCGGCCACCGGTGGGCACCTTTAAAATACCCCCCACACACTAACATTCATACATACAGAAAAAACCCCGAATTTTTTGCATTTCTCGACGTTTCAAAGTCCCATGAGTCCAGAAATGTAAAAATCAAATATGGGGGTGATTTTTTGACCGATTGCCATACTTTCTGTTATATATAACAGCCGGGTAAGTAAATAAAATAAATAAATAAATGAAATAAAAAGTAACTGAAATAAATCGGCTGAATGCCCTTATCTGTAATGAATCACATTCTATCAAATTTTCGAATTTGGAGTATGAAATTTTAATATCCACATTAACCTATTGCTGATATGACTAGTTTCAAAATAGACATATCCGGTTTTTATTTATACTTTTCTTATGTAGAGGAAAAGAGAAAATCGACCGGATAAATATGAAATAAAAATAAGTTTTGCCGTAGTTGGATCATTCAATGTTAGTTGTGATTTCGTCTGAGTTTTTGTCTTATTTCATCGTAAATCGACGATATGATTTTGGTTATGGTGTTTAATATTAAATAATTTTAACAGAGTCGTATGAACTTTGAAGAAATAACGAAGAATGAAAGAGGGAGAAAGAAAAATACTTGTAAATATAATAATAATAATTATAATTAAGATTAATAAATGAAATAATAACGAAATGTTGAGATATAATATTTAAAATTTTAACTGCAAAAAGAAACTAATATGTTATTCTAATATTTGATTTTAATATATTTCATTTTTAATTAACTTCTGCGGGCGCTAACGGAGCTTTTTAATTATGACTTTCATGCGTTGTCAACCTTGAGGAATTTTCCTCAAATTTGAAGAAAATGTGTTAAGAGGAAACATTAAGGATTCGAAGAAAAAGATAGAAAAAGGAATTTTACTATGTTTTATTTAATCCATATTTGAAATACTAAACTTTCCAAAATCGCACATCATGTTCCATTTGCATTAATACAAATCAAACACGCTGTCGCGTATGACACAGAATCTCATATGTATCATAGATTTTGAGACGTTTTGAGTTACCCACTATGGTATTACAACGGTCCTTTAATACCTCAGAGGAGATTTTTGTAACTAAATTTTATTTTGTTTGAAATAAAATTCACCAAAGAAGTCTCGGTATAAAATATGATTTTTCCGAGTTACATCTTTTTGAAACGAGCTTTAATTAATTACGAACGTACTGTATTTAAAGAAAAATATGTTCAAAACGAAAGTGGAAATTCGTAAGTACGGTGTATCCAAATTACTTGAGGGTACTGTATTTGGAGAAATTTGTTTAACTGTTTGAGGAATTAAATTAAGATTAGATTCACAGTTTTTATCACAGATTTGGATAGATACCGGTACATAAAGCGAGCAGTTAGATGTTAAGGGATGGGATAAAAGGTGACTTTACATTGCGGCCGGATGGCCGAGCGGTCAAGGTGGCAGCCCTGGGGCGCTCTGGGAGACCCGGGCTCGAATCCGACCGGGTTGAAAATCCCCAGGAATTTTTCGGGGGGTGGTCCGTTTGGATATGTCGGGCTCCGTCCCTCACCACCCGGCAACCCCCTTGTAGGCCTGGCCGAACCCATAAAGGGCTTGCAAAAAGAGGTCCTCTTAGTGCCCACAAGGCGGAAAGAGTTAAAAAAAAAAAAAAAGTAACTTTACTGTCTCGACCATCCGACCGTCTTTCTATTCACATGCAGTGTAAGTTTATAAATATAAGAAATCAACGTAAATTGTTTCTAAATGTCGATACGCAATTGAAATTTTATATTATGTTTCGGAATTATGTAATTCAGAATAAGTAAAATTACGCAAGATGCAGAACAGTACGCCGATTAATCTATACTAATATTATAAAGAGGTAATGTATGTATGTATGTTAGTTTGTATGCAGCAGGTAATCTCCGAAACTACTCATCCGATTTCAAAAATTCTTTCACCAATATTTAGAATGGAACTTCAGGGTGGACATAGGCTATATATTATTCCGTTAAACATGGGGGATGGACAGTTCTTTACGGTAAGCCTTACGGAAAAGGTTACCGTAAAGAACTCTGCTTCTATTTATACCATTTTAGATGCAGTTTTTTCCGTTTCTGATTGCGTTTTAATAGAGTACGTCAACAGAATGTACACTAAGAAGGGATTTTTCGATATTCCCCCCGCGGGGGAGAGAGACAGGATTAAGGCTTACTCTGAAAAACTTGGCTTCTATTATACTATTTTAGATGCGGGTTTTTGCGTTTTTGATTGCATTTTAATAGGATACGTCAACAGAATGTACACTAAGAAAAAATTTTTCGAAAAATTTTCCCCCACTGGGGAAGTGTTATACATTTATAATAGATACATTTTGAGCCACAACAAGGCGTGGCGGGGTCTGCTAGTTTATAAATAATTTGACAATTCAATGCTTAAAAAATTCAAAACAATTTTTATGCGCGCTAAGTTTTAAATACCTTTTCCTTTTTTTAATTTTATATTTTTCAATTCGAAATAAAAAAGCAAATGAATATTTATTTCGTTATATTTTTTTACTTGCTATATCGCAATTAATGAATGTATTTATTCGAAAGAAATTAATTGTCTATTTTATTTTAATTAATTAAACGAAATTAAAATGTATTTACGAACGTTTTTTTCTTATTTTAAAAATCATTCGAAGTTAATTTTTTTTTTACTTTTATTTAGGAATAAGTATAGCGTAATATGAGGAATTCTTAAAATAAACTTATTTTCTGAGGAGCTCCATTTTAGTACAACTACGCCATCAATAATAGCTTGGATGAAATGTGATGTGGAAGAGCTTTATGGAGATTCTTGGATGCATTTTGTAGTGACAGTGTTGTGATAAAAAGATGTGTTAATACTGTGAAAATGTGCTAAACATTGTATTGTAATTATAACGGAACGTGCAGTGTGGATTTTTGTAAATGTTTAGAAGAATGTGCAAATTGAATGGGATGAAATACGATTGAATTAAATTAAATTTATTTATAAAATTCAAAATGCCTGTGGCAACCAGCCCTCTTATAAGAAGATCGACTTCTGTGAATTCTTATACTTCTTATTATTCCTCTCCATCGGGTTCTGATCGAGATTTTTCGAAATATTCGTATAAAAGTTCGTACTTAACATCAAAGTCTTATAATCGTTATTCTAAGCCTCCTCTTTCTGGAACTTACTCGATAAGAGAATCCCGTACTTCGGATAGATATGGTTCGACAGACTACAATAGATCTTACTCTTTACCGTCGAGCAGTTTGACTTCTAAATATTCTACTGACACACTGCAAAATTATGAGAGAGACAGATTAAAAGATACCTCAAAGTATTATAATATCATTAATAATTACAAAAATGATAGTTCTCAGTTATCTGCTCTTTTGAAGCACACCTCTTTGTCCAACGATTATGGTAGAAAAGATGCTGTGTCGAATTTGGATAATGATGTGGATGTGAATAAAGGTTCGGGATCTCGAAATCAGGTGTCGTCGTACCAGAAGTCGTTAGATAGCAATTCGGTAGACAGTGTTAGTTCGTCTAAACTGTCGTCCCGACCGTGGAGATCCCGGCTTTCTTCTTTGTCGACAAATGTATGCATTAATAATAGTTCTATACTTTTATTTCAAATGTTTTGATTTCTAGATAAATGAAAACTAAATTTCTACATTAAAATGTGTGTTTATATGCATATGTTTGGTATGTCTGTAGCTGTATTGAAAAACTATTATTACAAACGAGGATATTTTAATATCATCATTTCTAATAATAGTTTTATTTACAATATGTAGTAAGTGTATAATTTAATTGAATTATACTAGTCTATTAAAAATTACATTTACATTTACATTGAACAGTGAGTGAGCATATTTGCTTTTCTCGGGATGAATTATTACTTTCTGCAGATAACATATCTTATATGTTTAATGATAAGTTAGATTATCTTCAGATTAATAATCTGTCCCTTTTGTAGAAACAAATCAGAAAATATTGGACCAATAGAAAAGCTGAGTTAAAAACCTTATAACAAATATTGATATATATATCAAATACAATCAGATATTGAAATAAAAACACTCAGAAAATATTAGTGTGTCTTAATAGTAACCAAAAATACAGCTATTGCTTCAAGTAAATAGATATGTGAAATACATATTTATTTTATTCTTTTATAGATACTTTTTTGGCTACTTAGTTGGACTTATTGCACCATGATTTTTGAAGAACTTGGTTTCTTTCTTCATTTTTTATTAGAGTTGAAATCTTCGAGATGCATGTACATTTTGGGTTTTCTATCCTTTAGTTTGAGTTTTATAATTTTGATAAGTTTGATTTAATAGTCAAAAAAAGTAGCTATAACAGAATAAAATCCTATGGAATAGGACTAGAAGCTTTACGAATAAAGATACATTTAAATGAATTTGCTAATTTAACAATTGATCAAATAGAATATGGTAGCTTGAATATTGAATATGTTAAAATTTTATACTAGAATAGAAATTCAGATAATTTTTTATCATCGTTAATTAAAATTTGTATTGTTTTGAATAGAACTTACATATGTTTATAGAAAATGATTTTATTAAATTATGCATATTAAAATTATTTGTACATAAAAATGTCATATTAATTAATAGTTATTGCTGGAATAAATATTATTATTATTATTATTATTATTTATTCCAGCAATAACTATTAATATGATAGATAGATTTGATTTAAATACATGAATTTATTTCTTTATATAAAAAAAAGACAAATTTTTATTTTACTTGGATTAGTTTTTAATGCAAAACTGTAAGTATATATTTGGAAAATTTATAATGCAATTAATTTTAAATAGAACTGTCAATATTACAATATAAAACTGGAAAGAAATAAACTTTCAAACTAGCAGATTCATTTCAAAACAAACATTGATACTGTTATGTTCAATCCCTGCATAACTCATTGCATGTCATGTTCCAATGTTGTAATGTATCTTAATTGGATTACATTTTTAAATGAGGAATTTAAAGTGTGCCAAAAGTAAAACCTAGTTAAGTATATATTATTAGTTTAAATAATTAAATTCTTTTCATTTATTGATTTTAACTAGTTTTTTGGTTTAATTTAATTATAGTCTAATAATTATAACTAAACTTGTAATAAATTTTAATAATTTTATTTTAAAATGACATATTGTATTTAATAAGTAGTATTAAATACAATATGGTACATATACTATTTAATATTGTTTGTTTATATTTATTCTTAATATCAAATCTAATATCACTTTATTCAAGATTTGTTTATCTCTTTTTAAGTAGGTATTTAATAAGATTATATTTTATATAAGGTAAATTTGTATGAATTAATCTGCGAAGAATGTGCAAATTGAATGGGATGAAATACGATTGAATTAAATTAAATTTATTTATAAAATTCAAAATGCCTGTGGCAACCAGCCCTCTTATAAGAAGATCGACTTCTGTGAATTCTTATACTTCTTATTATTCCTCTCCATCGGGTTCTGATCGAGATTTTTCGAAATATTCGTATAAAAGTTCGTACTTAACATCAAAGTCTTATAATCGTTATTCTAAGCCTCCTCTTTCTGGAACTTACTCGATAAGAGAATCCCGTACTTCGGATAGATATGGTTCGACAGACTACAATAGATCTTACTCTTTACCGTCGAGCAGTTTGACTTCTAAATATTCTACTGACACACTGCAAAATTATGAGAGAGACAGATTAAAAGATACCTCAAAGTATTATAATATCATTAATAATTACAAAAATGATAGTTCTCAGTTATCTGCTCTTTTGAAGCACACCTCTTTGTCCAACGATTATGGTAGAAAAGATGCTGTGTCGAATTTGGATAATGATGTGGATGTGAATAAAGGTTCGGGATCTCGAAATCAGGTGTCGTCGTACCAGAAGTCGTTAGATAGCAATTCGGTAGACAGTGTTAGTTCGTCTAAACTGTCGTCCCGACCGTGGAGATCCCGGCTTTCTTCTTTGTCGACAAATGTATGCATTAATAATAGTTCTATACTTTTATTTCAAATGTTTTGATTTCTAGATAAATGAAAACTAAATTTCTACATTAAAATGTGTGTTTATATGCATATGTTTGGTATGTCTGTAGCTGTATTGAAAAACTATTATTACAAACGAGGATATTTTAATATCATCATTTCTAATAATAGTTTTATTTACAATATGTAGTAAGTGTATAATTTAATTGAATTATACTAGTCTATTAAAAATTACATTTACATTTACATTGAACAGTGAGTGAGCATATTTGCTTTTCTCGGGATGAATTATTACTTTCTGCAGATAACATATCTTATATGTTTAATGATAAGTTAGATTATCTTCAGATTAATAATCTGTCCCTTTTGTAGAAACAAATCAGAAAATATTGGACCAATAGAAAAGCTGAGTTAAAAACCTTATAACAAATATTGATATATATATCAAATACAATCAGATATTGAAATAAAAACACTCAGAAAATATTAGTGTGTCNTTTTCTTGCAAATCTTCTAATTTGATTACAGCTACAGCAGAATGATTAAAATGTGTGACAATATTTCTATTAGCTGTGATTATAGTTTTCACATATTGTTTAGAAAATATGCATTCGTTTAGTGTCAGCTGCAGCGTATGATAATGCTTCTAAGTTGCAATTCCTAATTCCAGCTACTAGAATTGCTGCAGAATCTCTTAGTACTAAGAATATCTTCTCACTTGTCAACTTATACTGTTCAAGAACAATTTTTAACTGTTCACTGATTCGTGTAGCTGTGTGGGAACCTTCAAAGGAAACAATTTGCAAACAGCTCTTTCCTGCTGAAAATCATCCTTCAATCAGTGAGCTGTTACACTTAAAAAAGGAGAATTGTTTGTAGTTGCTGTCCAAATATCAGCTGTTAAAGAAATATATTTTATTTCTGTTAAACACAGAAACACTTCAGCTTTTTAAACAATGTTGAAGTTTCCATGCATCAACAATTAAGTGTTGAGATTTATTTTAGAAACAAAGGAAGAGATTGTTGATTTTGCGAGGATATTCGATCGTCTATTGTTTACCTGACCCGAGGGATATGGAAATACCAGGTGGAGAAAAATGGGTTTTTTCCACATTATAATTAACTGTATAATTAACTCCAGGATCTCACACTATTAATGCAATAAATTATTAACACTAATCGGCCAATTAATTGGTATCGGGCGATAATGCATGGCCGATTAATCGGTAATCGGTCATTTTGCTTATCGGTGCATCCTTAGTTGTATCCCAATATCATGTAGTATCACATAGCACCATTTCATGTCAGAGTTCAGGAAGTGCATTATTTAAATTCCAATTTTATTTGAAAATAACCAACACAACTTTTATAAAATTGTAGACTTATAGTTAAGTGTTCTTTTTATTTTTATTTCGTCATGGTGAAGCACACTATTCAGAAAATCAAAATTGCAATTTATTTTCAAATTAACCAAATTGATAATCTTAAAAGATTAAATAGATATATTTTTTTTTGTTAATTTTGTTACATTAAAATAATTACTTAATAATACTGGAATGACAATTTAAAAAGAAATCTATTTACTTTCTTTCACATAGAATAACAATTCACATTTTAAAAATTGCAGTCAAAATTTAAATGAAGACAATTCCTCCAGCTTACAAAACTCAAATGTAACATAAATGACAAAACTAAGTTTGATCTGTGCATTCATATATTACTCTTCATACCAAAATATTCCTGAAAATTGATTTGGCATGCATCTCCAACTTGTTTTGACACACTTAGAATAACTATAGAGTGGTACCTTAGACTTCAAGTTTAATTCATTTCAGGAGGCTGTTCAAACTGAACAATACCCATGTCAATAAACTTAAACAGCAAATACATATAGTTTAATTGTGTTATTTTTATCTAAATAAATTAAAAAAGTAAAATACTGTATAACAAAATGAAAATTGCATTTACTGTACCTTAGTGAAGAGTGATGATATCCAGTTTCTTAAGATCACTACGCAGCTGCTAGACTTTCTCACAAATAATCCTCTTGGAGATGATATCACAGCTAATTGCTTCTTATTTATCCACACTAGGAAGAGTTTATCCATCTTAATAACATGTAACCTTCCTGGAGGTCAACGCCATCACCTCTTTAGACACATTTGCTGCTTTTATTGCCTTCTTATTTCAAAAAATTAGACACATTATTGACTTTGGCATCTTGAACATGGCTGTAAGATCTGCCATACATGTACTGTTTTCATGCTTTATGATAAGTTCCTTATCTCAATTGTCAATGGCTAAAACCTTCCTCTTAGATTTTGTTGCTTTCACAAACTTCTTGGAGGCCATGATTAATAGATGGGAGTTATATAAATAACCAAACATATCAAAAATAAAGTGAAAAAACACTGAAAATACAAGAGTGTAATGCAAGAGATGCTTTCACAGCAAGAGCAAGAGATGACTTGGACTCACAACAGATGGCATTTACACAAAATGTGCATTTTTACTTTCCTGGCTGTTATGTATACATAAGGGAAAATATTGGAATTGTTTAAAATTTTGACCCTCCAAGGTTTTTGCAAATCTCCATATTTTGAAACCTCCTGAGCTAAACAAAGAGAAAAAAATTTTATGTGTTGACATCTATTTTGTTTAACATCTCAGGATGGGATATTGATGATGAAATGAAAGTTTGTATGGTAGCTTGTGTATAAGAGGCATTGATGCCATTGAATTTTAGTGGTTAAAGGTTGAGGGGGTGAGGAGATAAAGTGGTGTCATATCTTGAGAGGGGTCGGACTTATGATGGTATTCATTCTTTGCATTTACAGTTTTTTTACGAAACTCATCATCTTCAAAATTAAGCTTTTTGTCATTTTATAATAATTAAAAATATAAAAAAATATTTTTATAGCAAAATTTCATAACAGATGGAGCCACAATTTTATTTATTATAATTAAGAATATACTACAAAAGTTAATTTTTAACAGCTGGGAAAGTTATACTACTCATTGCTGGATTTTTTTCATTGTGCATGCAGTTTGAAGGTAGAAGCATTGTTCTGATTCTGGGTTGAATTTCTCTAGAATTTAATTTTTTAATTTTGGAACGTTTAAAGTATGAGATACCAATGTATTATATATTTTTTGAAAAAATGTTTGGAAATGTAATATACAAAATTCCTGTAGCATAAAAACAAAATCTTCATTCTTATACAAATACAAGTTATCATTACATTATTCAATCTTAAAAATAATTAATGCTAATATTAAATACAAAAATAAAATATATTAAAATTTTATAAACAAATGAGCAATTATTTATTTTGATGTCTTTACAAAACTGGGCTGCAATTTTTATTTTCTTTTAATTTAAAAAAATCGCATGACTTGTGGTCCAGACTAGAAGTTTGTATATACAGTGGTACCTCAGGTTACGAACGCCCCAGCATACGAAATTTTCAGGATACGACATAAAATTCGAACATATTTTTGCTCCATGATACGAACAAAAACTCACCATACGACGTTACATTAGTTCGCATTTTTCATTTGTTTTTCTTACTACAGTTATTTTTTTAAATGTATTACTTGGCTTTAATTTGAGTATGTTTTTCGCGTTGGAACGAATTATTTGGTTTTACATGTAATCGTATGGGAAAAGATGATCCACCTTACGACATTTTCATGATACGATCTCAGTTTCGGAACGGATTAATTTCGTATCCTGAGGTACCACTGTAGTTAATTGGTGGTGTATATGAACGCGAATGAATCGTACAAGCAAAAAAAAGGGGGTCAATAGGTTTCACAGGAACTCCTCGGATGAAAAAGTTACTAGTTCACCTGGCAACCCGATTCCCGGACTGTCCGGACAATAGCACTATCGTAGGCGTGATGCAAGTATAGATTAGGATGTTTCAAATTTTTACAAGATATTATTATTATTTATTGTGAAATTTTGCCGCCCCCTAAAAAGTGCCGCTCGGGGTGGGCCACCCCTGCCGCCCCCACTACAGCACGCCACTGTTAACAAGTCACTGTTGTGTGGATTCAGCCATATATTACAAAATTGCAAAATGTATAAACTGATAATTATGACTACTGTTTATGTTTTTTGAGTTAATTCCATATCATGTAATGCTCAAAATAATGATGAAAATGATCTCACTCAGTTCTAATATTTTAATATATTGAAAAGTTTTTTAATGGTGTTCTGAAAAAATTGAATTTTTGAAATGTCAAAATTTCTACTAGACTGATTATTTATTATTATTTTGAATGATGATTATAATCAGTATATTTATTACTTTGTAGTTATTGATTAGTACAATTTATTGCAATTGCTGTAGATAAAATTGAATTAGTCTATTTATTTTATAATGTTCTTATTTAATTAAATATGTTTCAATAACAAATAAATTAAATAAGAATATAAAGGACCTATGTTTTCATTACATTTAAACAAATTCTATTAAAGATCTTAAGGGCTTTCATGCATACAAAAAAATTTTTCAGCTAATACATAGCTATTATCAGAATTAAAAATAGAGAATTTAAATTAAACTTAACTTAATTATATGCTTGTTAAAAATTAAAGCACTAAATTATTAATAAGTAGAAAATGTTTTGTTTCAGAATAGTAACAAATATGCATCATGTATTGCATGTGCCAGGGAGGAAACAGTGTGTATATAATATATATATATATATATATATATATATAATATATTATATACACACTGTTTTATATATATTATATATATACATTTATTGTGGATTTAGTCAGATCTACAATGGTGAGAAATGAACCATCCCATCCCTCTCTGAAAAATTTGTAGGGTTTTTGTTCCTATATCCCTTGAGTGACAGGTTGACACCTTAACCATTTGGCAATCCAGCTTGTCTGTTGCATGTGCCTTTAAAACTTCTAATGCATACTCTTTTAGAAATGAAGTTTAGAATTTTTAGTAATAAAATATAGTC